AATATCAGTGATTAAGCAGAGCAGTAGATCCCTATCTGAGCAGTTAGTCAGGAAGCTAAAATGTCTAGCTAAAGCCTGCCTTTTACAGAAGTTAGCCCTCCAGTACATAATTCAGCAATGAAAAGGAATGAAGGGCTGACACAGGCTGCAACGTGGAGGAACCTTCAAAACACTATGCCAAGTCAAAGAAGCCAGTAACAAAGGACCATATTGCATGATTCCACTTAAATGAAACGTCCATAACAGGCAAATTAATAGAGACAGAGAGTAAATTAGCAGTTATCTAGGGCTGTGGGAGTATGCGAGTTGCTTGGAATGATGGCTAATGCATATCCAGTTTCTTTTTAGGGTGATGAAAATGTCCTAATATTGATTGTGGTGATAGTTGCATAACTCTGTGAAAATACTAAAAGGTATTGTACACTTTAAATGGATAAATTGTAATGGTATGTAAATTATATCTCAATAGAGCTGTTTTTAAAAAGTTTTAACACCTTCACTTAGTTTTTTTTTTCCTCTAAGATGTTCAGAGAGATTTTTTTCTCTGTTCCACAAACATTTGATGAGGCTGTGTTCTGTGCTGGGCACTGCCAGGGGACACTGAGATGGAACAGACTACAACCCACCCAAGAGGCTCTGACTGTGCAGTCGAGGGAAATGTGACGTGTCCACAAGCCACAATCATGTAAAGATGTGGACACTGCCACCCCCGCCAGGTGAAGAACCTAGGAGGGCTTCCTGGAAGAGATGGGCCTTGATGAACGGGTCTGATTTGGACATGAAGGGCCTGAGAGGAGGAGCCTGGACTTGCAGGTGAAAGGATTATCAGGAGCCTGGGCAGGGATCCATGCGGAGTTCCACTTGGTGGGAGCAGAGGCTGTGTCAAGGAGGCCAGAGGCAGACGGCCTGGCAGAGGTAAGCTGGTAGAGGCTTGCACAAGGCTTCAAATGCCAGGCTATAGAATCTGGGCTTTCATCTACAAACAAGGGCCATTTGTTGCATTATAGCTGTGCTTCCATCATCCCAAACAACCGTAACACTTCAAATGGTACGAAACCTAAGAAACAAGAGAAGCCTGGCCAGGTACCTAAGAGGTACCTGGAGTCCCGTCCAGCTCACCTCTTAGTCTCTATAACTTAACCCTCCTGAACTTAGACGTGCCTTCTACAAAATAGAGATGGTAATGGTACCAATCATATGATTGTTATGAGGATGCACTGAGACAATGCCTGCAAAGCCCCTGGGACTTGCCTTATACACAATAAGTGCTCCATTCCTGTTTGCTACTGTCATTATTGGGTGTCCCACCACATACCACTTCTGCTGTCAGATGTTAGAAATGCGACTTAGCTGGAGCCATGTCCAAGCCTGGAAATGCTCTACCAGTGGCTGACGTCTAGGTAGAAAATAGGTAATAAAATGGGCTGGCCTATTTCCTTGAATAATGATGAACCTAAGTTTAAGTTAAATTAGATTATAATAATATAAATAATTATAATTTAAAATTATATATTTATAGTTTAAATTATACTATATTCGTTAAAGTAAATAATGATAGACCTAAGTTAAACTGTTTTAGTTTTAAGAGTTTATGTGTTCTAATCCTTTATTTCCTAATCTGTATTTTTTAGAAATACTTTCAGCTGCAAATAAAAGACAGCCTAATTTAGAATGACTTAAATTTTTGTCTCATAACAAGGAATCCAGAGAGGTTGACACTGGTTCAGCTGCTTGACGATCATGTCAGGGACCCTGGCTCTATTTTCTGCACCACCACCCTTAGTTGTTGGCTTCTGTTGTGTGCTTGACATTCATTCATGATCATGGGATGGCTGCTGCCTCTCCAGACATTACACCCAAGTTCCAGGTAGGAAGAAGGGGGAGGGACAAAAATCCTCTTGTTCATAAGGCCTTGTCTTTTCTTTGGGAAGGGAAGCCCTCCCCAGAAGACTCCCACTTATCTCTCAGAACTGGATCACATGGCCACTCTTAGGACAATTAAAGGACAAGAGGATGCAACTACCTCACCAATTTAGATCAGTCATCATTGACTCCTTGGGGCTGGAGTAGGGGCCAACTCACACTGAGATCCTTTCCCCATGAGTCACCACAAACACATCGGCATTCTGTCTTCTAAGAAGGGGGTCTGCCGGTGGCGTAGATCATGGGCTGTGGACAGGGTCTGCTGTTCCAGGCTTGGGTTGGTTTAATCCAAGGGTCTGGGCTAGGAATACTGTGCAGAGACCTGATCACCAGATCTGGGACAGGCCAGAGAGGCTCCAGAGCTGCTCTGGGAACAGGGAAGTCACGTGGTGGCAGTCTGCAGGGTGAGCGAGCCTGCTTAGTTTGCACACGTACATGAGGACAGAGGCGGTGTGCTCAGGGCCTCGCAAATCCCCAGAGCACAGCGAGAGAGGACAAGCCCCACTCTGGTGGACCTTCCACCCACATTGCTTGAAGGGAGGCTTTTGGACACATCCCAAACCTTTCTAGGTCACCCATTAGAGAGGACCATGAGGAGTGTAGTGGATTGAATGGTGGCCCCCCCAAAATATATGTCCACTCAGAACCTGTGAATTTGACCTTATTTGGAAAAAGTCTTTGCAGATGTAATTAAAAACCTCAGATGAGATCATCCTGGATGAGGATGGGCCCTAAATTTAATGATAAGTATCCTGATAAGAGGAGATAAAGGCGAACACAGAGGAGAAGTCGATGTGAAGATGGAGACAGAGATTGGATGACTCAACCACAAACCAAAGAACGTCTGGAGTCACCAGGAGCTACTAGAAAGAGGAAGGATTCTGCCTTAGAGACTTCGGAGGGAGTGCGGCCCTGCCAACACCTTGATTCCAGACTTTCAGCCTCCTAAACTACGAGAGAATAAATTTCTGTTGCTTCAAACAACCCAGTTTGTGCCAATTTGTTATAGCCGCCCCAGGAAACTAACGCAAGGACCATGTTCTCCAAGAGGCAATTTGAACTGGAATGATAGTTTCTAGGAAGACCTCTGATTCTGACCAGTCATCACACATACAAAGCCAGTGATGCAGGAAAAGCTTGGTGATGTGCTGGTGGCCCAGACACAGGAGAGGGATGTCGAGGAAGACAAAGGAGACTCCTCACTCCCAAACTATCCCATTGTGCTCCCACCAGAAGCAAAGTCACACTCCTGGATGGGTTTTCCCAAGAGTGTGAGGTCGGAAGCCCACCTGCACCCTCTCCATTTCCTCAACGGTGTGCATTTATTCCCCGAGTATTTATTGAGACTTACGACACACCAGGAACTCTGCTAGGGCTTGGGACGTGGGGGCAAACAAGACACATGGCCTAGCTTCAAGGACTCACGGTCTGGGGAGGAGACCAGACAGGGAAAGAGGCAAATGCACCACAGTGTGGTACGTGTTACGAGGGCCTAAAGGTAGAGTTCCTGCTCCAGATGTGGGCAACCTGGAGGAGTGAGCCGGGCGATGGGAGGACGAGGGTACAAAGCGCACTTGCAAAGGCATGGAAATGAGGGATCACGGTGCACGGGTCACCACAGCATGCTCAGCACACCTGCAGGACACATCTGCAGGAATTTGAAGGTGGTGGAATACCAGTGGCTAGATGTGGCCCCTGGCAAAGGAGGGGCCTTGTAAATTGGGTTAAGAAGTTTGGAAGGAAAGGAGGGAGGAAGGGAGAAGAGAGGGAAAGAGTGAGAGGGAATGAAGGAATTGCCCACCACATGAAGCAGAGCCCCCTCTCTCTATAGAAACTGGCGACAGGAAAGCACAGGGACCACATGGGCTGCCTTAGGTAAGGGTGGGGCAGAGGCAGGAGCCACATCTGCGTTCCAGCAGCAATCATGGCAGTGGGTCTACCAGTCCCGCTGCTGGCATTCATGGGTCCATCAGAAGTGTCTGCGCCCGGCAGTGATGTTTTCTCTAGAACAGGTCTGCAGCATGTTTTAGGATGGGGTCCCTGACCTTCTGGCCTTCAAGCTTGGCTCTCTCCTTCCTGGAAGTTCAGTGAGCTTTGCAATATTTTTTTCCTAAGTCTCTTTGCTGCTTAATTTAGCCAAACTTGCTTCCTGCTTCTTAGAGATAACAAATACAGATGGATACACAGCCTCAACCCATAAGTTTCCATGGCAACAGCTGCAGAAGGCCCCAGAAATGGAAGGTGAGGGTGAGGCAACCTGGTGATTAGAATGCATGAGTGGTTTGGGTTCAGGGGCTCGTCAACTGAGCACTGACTGCCATATTCTGTGCCACGCTCTCGGCACATCCACCCTCACCAAGCAGCTACCTCAGGAAAGCAAGCAAGAGGAGAGCAGGTCCCCTCACATCTTTATCAGCTTCCACCACGACTCAGGCTGGGGACAAATATTAATGCATAAACACACCCACACAGTAATATGAAAGGATGCTTTTATACATAGAGAAGTATTCTTTCTACCTGTCTGCGTATAAAATAGTAAGAGCTAATATTTATTGAGCACTTGCTGTATACTAGGCACATTCTTTCAAGGTATTACCCTATTTAATTCTGAAAACAATCTAGAGGTCTCGGGATCTCCATTTGCCAAAAGGAGAAACTGACAAATGAGATGTTATGCACTTTGCCACATGGAGAGTCATTCAGTGTAGGCTAGCTTATGCGGTGGTAACAAACATTTCCAAAATCTCAGTGGTTAAAACAACAAAGGTTTCTCACTCATGCTATATTCCATCCGGCACAAGTTGCCAGGGGCCTCTGCCCTGGGATCCAGGCTGATAGTTCCTCTGCCATGGCGGCCTCATCTGTGACTGCGACAGAGAGAATGGAATGAGCAAATTGTGCACTGGCTCTTAGAAACTTCTCCCCAGACATGACATGCATCACTTCTGCTCACATCTCACTGGCCAAAGCAAGTCACGTGGCCGCATCTAACCTTAATGAGATGGGAAGTACAGCTGGCCGTGCGCGTGCCAGAAGAGGAGAAATGGGACACTGGGGGCAGCCCTGATGGCTCCTACCTTGCTGGATCCACAATTTGAACCAGGCATTCTGACTCCGCAGTCCACGCTCTCTGCTCTTACTCTCTCCTTCTCTTTGTCAATTAGTCATTTTGGACACTGAAAAAAAAAAAAGCAGAGAAAAGGAAGATTCTATTCTTTGGGTCCTCCATTCCAGACTACATGCAAATCAGCCCAACTAAATGTCTTTCAAATTTTTTCTTAGACCAACGTGAGGATCATTAATACATTGCCCCGAATATCTGACTGTCACTCAAATTCTCATTCGAATGCAGTCTATTTTCCAAAACCAACCCTTATGGGATACACTGCATGTCTTCATAAAATGACTCATAAAATCCACCAAAACATATAAAGTCATTTTAGCTTTGAAGATGTTCATTCCTTTGGATTTTCACTTGGATTTTAAAAAGAAACAATGGCTGCACAGAATATATTTATTGGGTACATTTGTTCCCAAGGAAAACGAAATCATCTGCTTAAGTCCTTACAGGATAGTGCTATTTTGTGGAGGGGGTGAGAGAAGAACACCTTAATTTTAACAACAAAAATAACGAAATGTTAGTTAAAGATGTATAAGAGATAAACAAGTACGGGGCTATACATAGGTCTCTCGGTGCTCCTGCAGGGAATTAAGAATTTAAGAACCCTCTTCTCCAGGCAAAGATATTTGCAGACAGACAGGCTGTATTTGTGACTAAGGCTCCTATGACACATTTACATTTCTTGTGGACCGGTCACCAAACTGTCTTCCTTGGCCATCTTCCGCCTGGGGCTTCGTGACAGCAGCATTTCCAAAGCTACTGTCCTTGGAATAATCTCTTTCACTGAGCAGGAAATGGAGTCCCACTAGGTCATGGTGCTGAAGCTCCAGCTTGAAGCTTTGACGCTTCATGAAGCTTGAAGCCCTGCTTCTGTGACATTCCACAGACCTTCAGTGGGGCATGGCGGAACAACCTGTGTTTGATGACCACACAGGTCAGGTTGGGCACGTACCAGCTGTGTCACCTTAGGCAACTCACAGACCCACTTTGACATCAGTTTTCCCCTTTGTGGAGTAAGGATGCAACTGTCACAGGGTTGTTGCAAAGAAAAAAATTGATAACTTAAGTATGGTCCCTACGTCAGGGATGACAAATATGTTTCAGTTATTGCCAACTCCAATTATTTGGAGCACTGTGTTAAGAAGGATTGTGATGACAACACATCTAGGTTCAAAGGAAAGTACACTGAATTAGGGTAGTGATGGGGACAGGGGCTGGTGTTCTAGGAGAGTCTCCCTTCCACACCTCTAGGGTGTTAAGCAGGATCCTCTCAGTTACAAGAGACTTAGACCTAATCAGAAGCTTACACCAAAATGAGGCTTCACTGAAGGATGCTGGAGTTATCTCAGAGAATTGCAGAAGAGCTGCAGGAACCACGAGAGCAAGTCCGGTGACCTCACCGACAGGAACCATTGTCAGGATGTCAGGATGCAAAATCTCTCTCTCTCTCCCATCTCCCCTTTCCTCTCCCCCTTCTCCTCTCCTCTGCTCTCCTCTCTCCATTTCCTTTCTCTGCTCTGCTTGGCTTCACACTCACTCTCTGGGTCTCAGGCCCCTTATCTGTAAGTTTTGAGGAATAGTCTTGAGTCAGTGGTCCTTTCTCCTGGCAAGGCCCCAGGACACCCAACATCCTTTCCATGTCAGCCCGAGTCTTGCTGGACTGTGAGCTCCAACCTCCTCTGTGACCAGAGGTTCCTAGCATCATCTCTGACATGCGCAGTCACCCCTGTCTCTGCCAGAAGGTCCTAGAGACAGAATCCCCTGCAACTCTGAAACCCCAGCAGCAGTTGAGATCTCCAGGGGAGACAGTCTAGGTGTCTAATGGACCCTTGGGACATTTCTAGATCTAAGCTGTGTTTCTATAATCCCACAAAACATAAGATCAGTATATTGAGGAGCCAACATATTAAGAGAAAAGTGAGCCGGTGTAGTGACATAGAATACACGCCTCTGGTGACCCAGAAAGACGAGGGTGAGCTGGTCTTGGTTTCCTTTGAGAAAACTTGATGCTCCAGGGTCAGCGTCTAGACCTGGGAGGATGGGGAAAGTGAAGAATGGGCTTCATTTTTTAAATGTTATGAAAAATACTTGACAGCTTTATGTTTTCACATCTGTGTGTGAGATAAGTAGTATTTTACACTTTGTTGATGTAGAAATTAAGGCTCAAAGAGGGCAAGTCAGCTGCCCAAGATGACAGGGCCCATAAATGACTCCCATCCTTGTGATAATCTGCATGGCTGAGTCAAGTGTTGATGATGGCTAGGCTGCCTGAGGGACACGAGATAGACAGGGATGACACTCCAAGAGCTGTTTGATGTCCATCTTCAGTGCCTCCTGCACTTGTGGGCTCATCCTGGGTGACCCTATCAGCATGGCACAGCCCCCTCTCTTCTGCTTAATGCTCCAAAGCATTTCAAAATCTCCTCAGCAATCACTTGGAAAGGGTCTTAAGAGAACACAGAAGATTGTATTGAACTGTCTGACTGGAGAATGAATCTCTCTCTTTGAACCTAACTGTGACTTATTTTTTCCCAGCCTTTTGTAGAATAACTTGGCTGAAGCACCAGGTGCAGATCCCACTGCGGGCCTCTTCCGTCTCCCGTAAACACACCCAACCCGCATTAATAAAGTAACATTTGTGAGTAGAACAGTGCCTGGCGGCGATATTGTGATTTGTAATAAGAAATATGTATTTGGTCTTTATCCATGTTTCTTGCACAGAGTTCTGAAAGGCCCTTGGAATTTCCTAAGTGATGAGAGTGATCGTTGTGTCTTTTGGAATGTTCCTACATTAGCTAAAGACGGAGGCTGGCCACCAGAGGAAACAACCACGTGTTTAGAGAGTTGGAACTTCCAGTCTCGCCCTCAGACCTCCTGGGAGGGGAGGGGGCTGGGGATGGAGTCAATCACCAATGGCCAATGATTTAATCAATTGTGCCTGGGTAAGGAAGCCTCCATAAAAACCCAAAAGGATGGGGTTTAGAGAGCTTCCAGGTTGGAGAATACGTGGTGATTTGGGGAGAGTGACATGACTGGAGAGGGCGTGGAAGCCCCGTGCCCTTTCCCCATACCTTGCCCTGTGCTTCTCTTCCGTCTGGCTGTTCCTGAGTTATAGCCTTTTATAATAAACCAGCAATCTAGTGAGTAAAATGTTTCTCTGAGTTCTGTATGCTGCTCTAGCAAATTAATCGAACCCAAGGAGGGGGGTCATTGGAACCTCCGATCTATAGCCTGTTGGTCAGAAGCACAGGGGATAACCTGGACTTGCTGTTGGTGTCTGAAGTGGGGTGGGGTGCGGGGAAGACTTGTCGGACTGAGCCCTTAATCTGTGGGATCTGACACTATCTCGGGGTAGACAGTGTCAGAATTGAGTTGAATTATAAGATACTCAGGTGGTGTCCCGAGGATGGCTTGCTGGTAACATTGGAATTGTGACCAGACCCCTTGTAGGAGCCCAGCAAATGGTGGCAATTGTTTTTTATTTTTCTTGTGGCTATCCAGGAGGAATCAAGTTAATTAACCTCATCCTCCAGGGCAGCCTTGAATGAGGAAAACTGAAATGGCAGAAGTGAGTGGAAAGTAAACCAGGCAACCCCACCTGCACACCACACAGTTTATGGACAGCTTACAGGGCAACTTAGCACCAGCAGAGCCAGACGCCCCCTCCCCTACCTCTACCTCCATGAATCGTTGGCTACCACCAGGCCTGGGCCTTGGCAGCACCCCGGAGGAGAAAAAGACATATGGCGGGTACCTGGAGTCAGGCCTTAAGAGGAGCAGTCCCCCAGCGTCTCTAGAGAGCCAAGCTTCTGCAGGGGCTTCTCTGCCTGGACCAGGGTCCAGGATGCCATGGATACGCCCACCATCTCTGGGTAGATCAGAGGGAACCATTTCTGCGGGATAGCTACCGGAGCGAGCCAGAATCTCACGTCTGCAGAAAAGCACTCCCTGTTATGCTTCACAGTTCCCCACAAGCTCCTGACATCACCGGTCACTCTTGTAAACTTCCTCCATCACTGAAGTTTGTATGACCTCTGCCCAGTCGCCTGAGCCTCACTTTCCTCGTCAGATATCACACCATCTCACAGGTCCCTATAAAGGCGCTTCTTAAAGCACCATGCAAATTGACGTTGCAGTGGGCATAGTTTTTCCGCCTGCTCAGAACGACCCTTCAGTGATTCCGGTGGCCTGGTGAGGCTGTCAATCACAGGACCTCATGACCCAGGGTAGCCAATCAGATTGCCCCATTCCTCTGGCCGCGGTGATGCGTGCAGTGACTCAAACTGAGCCAAGCGCTTTCTCCTCCTGACTTCTGCTCAAGCTTAGGGGAAAACCAGATTTTGCCTTTGGAAGGAGAGAACGACAGAGACATGAAGAGTGAAGCAGAGGAGGGAGAAGGAGCTGGATTTCCGTCACTTTTGCTGGAAGTTGCCAGTTCCCCTGTGCTAGGCTCTGGGTGTGGGGGCCAGTTGACCCCTCCTTCGGGCAGGCCAAGAAGAGAGCCAACTTGCAGCCATAGCCCTGGACATCTCCCTCTTGTGAAGCTCCCAACCGAGGGGCTCTGTGCAAGGGCCAAGTAAAAACCACACATGTCTTTCTCCAGCGACACACTCAGAGCCATGAGCCCCTCGGTATTCCCTTGCTCCACCCCACAGGTCACCTGCAGCTTCAGCTCCTGTATGCTGCTGCCTTCCTGCCCCAAGCACGGTGTCTCTCCACCTGAACATCTCGTCTGCCCTGGGAGTGTGCTCACTGGCAAGACAGAGCAAAGGGCCAGGAAGTTAACACCCACAGGAGCAACCCACAACCAGTGAGGGACGGGGGTCAGAAACAATCCGCAGCTTCCCCATCCATCAGTGGGACATCACTCAGGAGGGTCCTACAGTCTCTCAGAGGGTCCTCTTTGGAAAGGAGCTGCGATTGCCCACAGCATTAACCCTGTCATTAACCTACCCCTTAATAGCCTTTCTCTCTCCTTCTCCCCACCTGCAATGTGCTTCCTGGGGTCACCTCTCAAATAAGCTTTTTGCACCAAAACCTTTGTCTCCATGTCTCATTTTGACTTAACTCCTCCTGAAAACCAAACCTTTAAGTTATACCTTAAAAACAAGACATCAGGGCCTGGGCCCCTGGCCGAGTGGTTAAGTTCGCATGCTCCGCTGCAGGCGGCCCAGTGTTTCCTTGGTTCGAATCCTGGGCGCGGACATGGCACTGCTCATCAAACCACGCTGAGGCAGCGTCCCACATGCCACAGCTAGAAGGACCCACAACGAAGAATATACCACTATGTATTGGGGGGCTTTGGGGAGAAGAAGGAAAAAAATAAATAAAATCTTTAAAAAAAAAATTGAAGGAAAAAAAAAACAAGACATCAGAGATGTCACTACCACTTCACCTCACACAGATACATAAGTTCAAATACAAAACGAAGCAGCAGCCCTCAGTGTGTGACGCTGAGCCCAGGGCCACTGTGGGCATATTGGGAGAGCCTGTGGGCTTCGCGAGGACGGGGTGCAGAATGAAGTTTAAAGCCTCTTTTCTCCGCTATTTTCATACATTGTTCATGACTTGCTAAAATCCTTTTATTCTTCTAAGTCTCTCTCTGGGGGAAAGATAGTAATTTGCAGTGTCCAGCGAGCAAGGCTTAACGTGCACCTGTTTACTGATTTCTGGGCAAGCAGGTAGGAAGAAGGGGCCAGGAGAGCCGGGCAGACCAGGAAAACGGCCCACGTCAACCATTGCCACCCAAATACATTCAACAAGGGGATTTCTGAGAATGTTTCTGTGTTATCCTACACACAGGCACTCCCAGCATGAGACCCTTTCCCCTGGACATTTATTCGTCATCAACCTACCGTAGTAAGTCCTGATGTTCTGTTCCGAGTGGTTGTCCAGGTGAACGCAACCACCCGTTAAGCCTGGGGGCGGTGCGTAAAGACGGAGAACTGGAAACAAAGTCTGCTCACCTTCTGAACAAACACCTGTGCTCTCCTCACGCAAGTCGAGGTTTCCTAGGAGAAAGGAGGATTAAAAAGTGAAATACTGCCACCTCCCGGAAGAGAGAAGCCTGCAGAAGAAATGGAAGCTACCCAAGCCACTCAGGCCCTCAACAGCCCAACCCGAGCTTTAAACATAAACACCAGCACTGTGTCCACCTCCTGATGCCAACCCTCCAGGGACTGGACTGTGACTTTTTAAATACCAGCAATAACAACACTGAGAGATAAGGTTAAAAAAAGAATGTTTAGAGGCCGGCCCTGTGGCACGGTGGTTAAGTTCGCATGCTTCGTTTTGGCAGCCCCGGGTTCGCAGGTTTGGACCCCAGGCACAGACCTAGCACTGCTTATCAAGCCATGCTGTGGCAGCATCCCACATAAAATAGAGGAAGATGAGCATGGATATTAGCTCAGGGACAATCTTCCTCAGCAAAAAAAAAAAAAAAAAAAAAAGGAGGATTGGGAGTGGATGCTAGCTCAGAGCTAATCTTTCTCACAAAAAGAAAACAAAACAAAACAGAAACGTTTGATCAGGCAACCGTGCCCCTTTTGGTCTTCTGGAATTCAATGTTGGTGTTCAAAATACAGCAGGAATGGTTGAAAAATAAATTTCAACTTGATAATCCTGCTTGGGAGTAAGTAGATGCCTGTCTGGAAAACGAAAACTATTCATTGTTTTTTCTCATGCGCAAAACAGACAAAACAACAAAGTAGTTTAAAGTAGATTTGGTAGTTTGCAAAGCTCTTGTCCTTTTTCTCACACACTGAGAAAAATCATGCACCTGATGAATTGAACCTGAGTGGGCCTCTTGCGACTTATTTAGGACTGAAGTTCATTCATCATACTTCCACTGGGAGATTTTTGGCTTGAGCAAATGGGCCCCTCATTCGTGGACTTTATTTTAAAAGTATAACTTTCATTTTATTCAATTGGCATTAAGAAACCACCAGTTTTTTTTCCCCACGACTTTTTAAGACAATTTATTGGTATATCGATGATATATCAATGAGGAAATTCTTACTGACATTAAAAGTACATTTTCAGAGAATTTATAGGTGAAAAAGTTCTAACTAGGTGACGTTAAGTGGAAAAAGCAAGAGACCAAGCTTCTTGTAGAGTATGGTGCCAAATTGTTGCAGCTGTTTGTGTCCCTGTTTGTTTTTATAAGTACGTGTGTATGGAATAAGTGCAAAAAAACGCTACGAAGAAACACACCACAATGCTCCCAGTGTTCATCCCTGAGCAGTGAAATCGTGCTTGACATTTTCCTCACTCCTGAGCTGTCTGCATCTAATTAGTACCACACTGTTCACTACACTAGGTTACAGTATGTTTGAATATACCTGCTAAGGAGAGTCTTTCTAGGATTTTTTTTCCCCTCGGTTTTTCACTGTTTCTTCTTCCAGGCTGAGCTTTACAATCATTTTGTCAAGTTCCAAAGTTTCAAGGAAAAAAAAAATAAAAACTTGTTGGCATTCTAAAGAAAATTGCACTTAATTCATAACTGATTTAGGGAGACTTGACAGTGTTGAGGGATGCTATCCAAGAACAACGGAGGATTTTCTGTTTTTGTAGGATGTACAAAATGTAGGATCTTCAAGTTTTTCTGTCCTTCACAAGGGATTTAAAGTTTTCAAGACTATCTTGCAGATTTCCCATTAAGCTTCTTACCAGATTCTCTCACTTTATTGACTTGTATTTATGGATGGATGGGTGATTGTATACACCTAGTTACCTACTGAGGCTTTTGGATTAAGAAAGATTTTTTCCTTTATATATATATATATATATATATATATATATATATATATTATTTTGCTATTAATAAAGCTCTTTCATCATATCAACAACATAACTGTCTGTTGATTATAGATAAGAAAGCCACTTACTGAAGTTTCTTTTTGTTTCTAACATTTCAGTTGACCCCTTTGCACTCTCCTGGTATTCAAACATATCATCTGAAAAATCATATTCCCCATCCTTCTAAATGTGACTACTTTTTACATTTCGTTCTCCTGCCTAATTTCCTCTGCCCCTAATTCCAGTGTCACGTGTCAGTAGCGATGGTTTGGTGGGGACATTTGTGTTGTTTCTGACTTAGGGAGACCATTGCTTCCAGGAGTTCAGAGTTAAGAATGAGTTTGAATTATTTATGGAATAAATTATATAGTATCCACATTTTGCCTTAAATAATCCAGTGGCAGGGGAAGTAGTCTCTTTTTGTCTATGTACATGTATGCATATAAAAGTAGTTTTTTAAAACAGCTTTATTGAAGTATAATTTTACATATGATAAAGTTAAGTGTACAATAATTTTTTTGGTAGACTTAGAGTTGTACAACCATCCCCACAATCCAATTTCAGAACATTTGCAGCACTCCAAAAAGATGTTATATGTCCACTTGCAGACACTCCCCATTTCCCCCGCAGCCAACCACCAATCTACTTTGTCTCTGAAGATTCATCAACTGATTTCTGATAAAGGTGCAATGGCAATTCAATAAACAAAAAATAGTCTTTTCAAGAAATGGTGCCTTATCAACTAGATGTCCATATGCAAAAATAAATCTCAACACATGTCACACCATATATTAAAATTAGCTCAAAATGGGTCGAAGACCTAAAAACAGAACTATAATTGTACCTTTCAGAAGAAAACAGGGAAAATCTGCAAGACTTTGGATTTGGTGATGAGTCTTTAGATAACAGCATCAAAAACATAATCTATAAAAGAAAAAAACTAATAAACTAGACTTTATCAAAAGTAAAATCTTTTGTTCTTTAAGATACTATTAAGAGAACGAACAGACAAGCCAGACTGGGAGAAAATATTTGCAAAACACATATCCGATAAAAGACTGGTATTCAGAATATATACTGAACTCTTAAAATGCAACAATAAAACCCAACTTTTGAAATATGGGCAAGTGTTGAAAAGACACTTGACCAAAGAAGATATATGGATGGCAAATAAGCATATGCAAAATGCTCAATCACTTTTCATTCGGGAAATGACTATCTCAACCACACGAGATACCACTGCCACAGGAACTCTCCTCTATCGCAGGGGGAATGCAAAACAGCACATGACCTCTGGAAAACAGTTTGGCAGTTTCTTATAAAGTTAAATACACATTTACCAAATGACTCAGCAATCTGACTCCTAGGTATTTACCCAAGCAAAATGCATTATGTTTATATTAAAAACCTGTTCATCGATGTTAAATAATAAACCTTGATACAGCCATACAATGAAGTACTCAGCAGCAGAAAGCAACGAGCTACTGTTTCATACAACATGGATGAATTTAAAACACAGTTTGCTATGCAAGAGGCCAGACTCAAAAGGCCACAAACTGTACAATTCCACTACTTCTATGACATGATGGAAAAAGCAAAGTTAGAGGAATGCAAAACAGATTAGTGAGGCTGGCCCGGTGGTGTAGGGGTTAAGTTCGTGTGCTCTGTTTGGATCCGGGGCATGGACATACACGCCACTTATTGAGCCATGCTGTGGCAGCATCCCACATACAAAACAGAGGAAGATGGGCACAGATGTCAGCTCATGGCCAATCTTCCTCAGCAAAAAGAAGATTGTCAGTGGATGTCAGCTCACGGCTAATCTTCCTCAAAAAAAAAAAAAAAAAGGGAAAACAGATAAGTGATTTCGAGGGGTGGGGTGAGGGGTTGAGCACAAAAGGGAATGTTCAAGGTGATAGAACTGTCGTTCTGTATGCTACTGAGATGGCAGACACATGACTATACTTTTGTCAAAGCCCAGACAGAGCGAAATTTACTCTATGAAAAAATCAAGTGGGATGTCAAGAGATCCCAGATGGAATGCAGAGTGTGACAGATGAATCTGTTTACAAATGTATGACATAATCTCAATGAAGGGAGTGGGGAATAAACGGAGGTGAACGAAGTTACTTTGGAAAATAGTGTTTTGAGTGGATACCCTAAGGCTAATGACAAAAAAAAATACTTAAACACTATACTCTAGTTGGTCAATTTGTTTCTCCCAGGGGTGCACCTTAACTCTGAAGCTACTCTGTAAGTATTCTAGGGTTAAACAAATAAGTAAATAAATTCTAGATAAAAGGAGCCAGGTTTCTCTCTGAGACAGAAGTTACAAGCAAGCAGAGGCAGAATTAGAACCTTGCGGTGCTGGAGGAGAGTCAATTTAACTATATACAGATAGATAGATCTAGAAATAATTACAGAGATGTGTACCTGTATGTTGGCTAGTATACATATTTCTATCTCCTAGCCTGTTTCACTGAAAAGGCACAGAAGCAGTAGCAGCAAGCATACCCAACACCCGGATCTTGGTTTCTAAATACTGTTCTCCAAGAAAAGGAACCAGGGCTCCTTGGAGAAATAGCTCATTGTAGGGTTGGTGTCCAGATAATACTTGTAGTGCTAGAAAGGAAGAATATGGTCTTTAAAAAAAAGATGAGGGCATGTCAAAAGGATTTAGGAATCAACCTCAAAGAGCTCCCAACAGCCAAAGCTGAGACAACTTGCACAACAAAATAACTAAGAACAGTAGTGGATTTTAACCCAAAGGATAAAATAAGTAGCCATGATCACCAACTAATATAAATGAATAGGAGAAAGGAACAAACGTTTAAGAAAAACTCTGAGGGCCGGCATGGTGGCACAGTGGTTAAGTTCGCAGGCTCTGCTTCGGCGGCCAGCCATGCTGCGGCAGCATCCCACGTACAAAAAAGAGGAAGAATGGCACAGACGTTAGCTCAGCAACAATCTTCCTCACAAAAAAAAGAAAAACTGAACAATATATATAGATACTGCCCCCTCCCCTTGAGTGTGGGGCTAGACTTAGTGATTCATTTAAAAAAAAAAAAAAAGAGTATGGAAATTGGAAAAATGGTAACTTTACAGTGGAAAAATCTACCAGACACCTCAACCAATGAAGGAACATCACACCGGTAATGCCTACTGACATCATGCACCATACCCACAATATGCTATGGTGTGGAAGGGCACATCGCCTCTGTGCTATCCTTCCTGGGAAAGCACACCCTCAAATCTAATCACGAGAAAACATCAGACAAACCCACGCTGAGGGACACCCTACAAAATAACCAACTAGTCACTCCTCATAGAGTCACGGTCATGAAAGACTGAGAAACCATCAGAGATTGCAGCAGACTGAGGAGGCACTAACAACTAAGTAAATGCAATGTGGTACCCTTGACTGGATCCTGGAGAAACCAAATAAAGTCTGTACTTTTTCTAAGTTTTGACGAATGTACCACAGTTAACGTAAGATGTTAAAATTAGGGCACGCCCAGGGAAGGGTACAGGGAATATCTCTAGACTATCTTTGTAACTTTTCTACAAATCTGAAATTATTATAAAACAAAAAGGCTGTTTTGAAAAAACATATAGCAAAGCCACAGCACTGAAAGCATGGCTGTACCTAAAATTAAGAAAGCAACTTACAGAAGATTATATACATTTTCGCAGTTAACTTGATCAACACCACAGTTTATTTGTAAACATATTATGTGTCAATAATCAAATTGACAACACTTTATACATTTCATTGTATAATATTAACATACCAGAAAACAATCCACTGTACTCAGTGACAGTTTTGGTACTTTAAAATCTTTAAATACAAACTGTATTTGAAACACTGAACATAAAAGAGAAACATGAATGGCAGAGAAAATTGAAAACATTAAGTAAAAGAAACCAAGATTCCTCCCCCCAAATACAAAATCATCTGATTACATATTTAAAAAGAATCAAGGAAATCAGATGATCAAATTTTTTTTAATGACATAAAGCTGCATTTCTTTAGACCAACTTGAGAAGTGAAATTGTACCATGCTAAATTCTGTGTCCTTTTTGATATTTTTTTCCCTTGGTTTCTAAAGAATGTTTGCCATGGTTTAAGTTACATTAAGGGGCTAAAAGAGAGGGGAGGTAGCACAAAGCCAAATGAAATTACTTGAAACATCAGCAAAAAACTGGATAAAAATTCTTTTATAAGTAAATCTTCTTTGGCAATTAATAAAATATATGTTTTAAATTTACCTTTGTGTTGAACTGGATCAACACTTACAAGATTTAAGAGATGCATCTTTACATGAGTTAACGTATGAATGAAACAAAGCCAAATTCATAAAGCAAAGCACAAAAGCAGCTTTCACACTTTGTTAACAGCTCTGAAAACACAGATTCTCCCTCCTTCAAAGTATGAGAGTTCTGCAGCTGGGAATCAGAATCTTTCCTCGTTCGCATGAGAAACCAGAGTTGACCACATGTTTTCTCAGTACTTTCCCTAAAACTCAGGATCATTATTAGGTTCTATTCCTTCCTCCATTATCTCTCAAAGGGAACACGGCAGCAAATCACTCCCAAATTTTAAGTTTTAAATTCACCAACAACTGGGCTCACGGCCAACAGCTACAAATATTTGATTCTTTATTAGTGTACATGTCATTACAGTAGGCTTAGATTGTTAAGACAGGAATAAATAAAATAACTACAGTTAATTCACACAAAGCAAAGGAAAATGAGATTAAAGAGCTTTGATCAAAGGAAATCCTTACAACTTTCAGTTGAAAAACTGTAAAAGTTACATACATACCTAATAGCACTAGGAATGTACAATACCAATTATTGGAAAAATAAATGAGTGATTCACAGTCATAAGAAATTTAATATTAGTATATATTTTTCCTTTTATAGACAAACACGTATAACATACACTTGGTTTCTACTTCATACAAGACAAAGTAGAAAACTAAACGTTACTGCATTTACCCCAAACACAGCACTGACTGTGCCACAGGCGACCTGCTCCAAAATATTCAATTCTATAGTATGGTATTGAATGCATGGTTATGTTAACAGTTTTAAGAAAGGCATATACTTCCAGAAGTATGTTAAATACACAAATATCAGTTCTATAAATAACAAAAATTATCAGCAAAAATGTTCAGGTTATAATATTCCCAAATTTTCTAATGCTTTCTAAGTGTTTTAGATACATGTTCTCTGACCAGTTAGCTTGGTTATAGTTTTAAACTAGCAAACCATTATCCTACGAGAAGAGCTAAACTAACCTATAACACCTCACAAACTTTCAGAGAAAGGTAACTTGAAAATTCTAAAAATTCCAATTATTCTAATTAACATTTGAGATACTAAAATCATCAATGGCTCAAGAAACATTTTGAAATTACTCAATTTTTCTTTATCATTTCCTCCAAAACCATTCACATGAATTTGAGATCCAGATTGCCTAAGAATATGTCTTCAAAGTAGGTTTATGACTAAAGTGTTTTGATCAGAAGACACAGCCTTAATGCCTCTAATATGTAATTCTAACCTAAAAATCACAATCCTTGGTTTGAAAACATCAAATTCAATTTTGTAACAATTCATTGGTAAAGCTACTAAACAAAAAATAAATCGGGGTGAAAACGTGCAGCAGCCACAGCTACGAGAATGGAAAATAAATTCTATTTTTCCATAAAGACTCTATGAAAATATAAAGCCCAAAGTGAGTGACAACAGAAGTCCACATATAAACGTTGTTTAAAAATAGAATGTTTTCCAAAGCTTCTTATGAGATGTCAATGTATCGTCATAGTCTGAGTTAAGACATTATAAATCAAGGTTGTTATACGTAACTATACCTTCAACAATGTTCAACTGATATACATAATTTACAGACATCCACAGGAATTTTTAATGCCCCATCATAGCATCTCTCAATACTGGATGTTTACTGTTTTATAGTTTTGCTACTTTAAGTATCAAGAAGCCTTTTCAGAGGAAGAGTTCCATCTCTTCCCATGATCCCCTAAAGAGTAGGTAACAAAATATAAAATTAAACAAGATTTATGTTTGATAAACTAACATATAAAATTACCATTGCAATATTCATAGTGACTGCTTATAAACATAACAGTCATCATAAAGCCTATAAAGTATACCCTCAGTTTTACAAAAGAAATGCAGATTGTCTCAAGGTAAAAAATACAGTGCAGGCTGCTAAAAAGCTCTTTGTTGCATTGGAGGTGCAATCATGAGGAAAACTTCAGAAAACATGACAAGTTTCCCAAACTCTGAACATCAGTGAAGCAGGAATTGCACTGCAGCAGCAGGATGCTTTTTAGTGGCTGGCACTATAAAGCTAACGTTAAGAAAGAAAAAAGGCAGGAAGTGTGAACAACAAATGGTGTAACCAAATTATTGCAAATGGAGATTAGCAGTGAGAAGCGCGGAAGGCGACCGTCCACTCCATTCTGATAAGACGCCGTCTTTAAATATTAAGTTTTTGGCAGGAAGTGGGACCCCCATGTCGGCGTAAGACGACTGTGAAAGCAAACTTGAAAAACTGGCCTCTGCGTGAATATCCAGTGTTGAAGCACCTTCCTAAAAAATCAAGAAACGAGAAAAATTCTGTATTCAACACTTCACCAAACGACTTAACAGAGCTAATGAGAAACAGACCCACACTGAGCAACACTCACGGAACGCAGAGCACCACAGGAGATGCAAAGACCTACCTCACACACCCAAATAATTAATGACAGGTGTTAACCGACGCAAAAATGACTCATACAAGTCGGACTATGAAACAGATAGAAATAACAGGCTAAGAGACTAGGGGATAAGAAAAGTTAATTTTTAGATAATCTCCAAAAACCCTCACAACAACAGGCACCATGCACTGCCAAGGCTCTCAGATTCACACATTCAGCACAGTCCTCTCCCCAGAACTCCAGGCTCAAACATCCACCCATCTGACGGCTGCTCTTGGGGTCTCTCCCTGCACTCCACACTCAGCACGTCCATAAGCGAACTCTCAGTGTCCCCCAGCTGCTCCCGTCCAGCCTTCCCTACTCCACGCCACACATCAAGCTAGTCAAGAAATATGAGGACCATTCGTGATTCTTCTTTTCCTCACCACACCCTCAATCTTTTCTTCATATTTAATTCATCACCAAGTGCTATCAATCTACCCCAACACCCAAATTACTTCACTTTAGTCATTCACCATAGTCTATGCCAGTGGTCTCCAAAGTGGGGTACTCACTCCAAAGTAGGGTACAGTACTGAGGGAATTTTAGAAATCCTATACCCACTTATTGCAGCCTTATAAAACCTCTATTTGGGGATATGTTTTATACTATATATAATTTATTGATATAGCAGCATATACGTGTAATAAACATACCGTTCTTATAGATGCATGCAATTTTTTTTTAATGAAAAAGGGTGCTCAGCTATCAACGTCTCTCACTTGGGCTATTATAATAGCCTCCGAACTGATCTTGCTTCTATGCTCGTCTCTCTTTAATCTGTTCTCTAAATAGTAACCAATCCTTTAAAACAATCAGAAGTAATGTCATTCCCTGTCTTTATAGCTTCTCTTTGCACTCAGCATAAAATACAAATTCTTCACTACCCTTTGATGTATATACACTTCAATATGCCCTGCCCTCCTCTTCAGCCTCGCCTCTTGCCACTGCCCCTCTCAGGGGGCTTCAGCCACACCGGCCTTCTTCTGTTTCCTTGGACACCAAGTGCTCTCCTGACACGTACTAAGCTCTGCCTGGAATACTCTTTTCCATCCTTTAGGTTTCAGCTTATAGAGCATCTCTATCTATTTAAATTAGGTCCATCTTTGGATTCCATCAGGTTTGAAGGAGTTTGGCTCCTTCACAGCACTTACTGAAATCTCTAATTACTTACATAGTTTAATGTTCACTTGACAATCATCTCACACAGCACCATAAACTCCATTAGCGTCTTAGATATCATCATTTCCCCAGCACCCCATAAAGAGTTGGCATAGAGTACACTCAAGTATTTATTCAAAGAATGAATGAAACAAAACTCTAAAATATTGATTTCATAATGTTGGATTAGATATTTTGAATAGAAATATTTCATTCTAAAAGTTCATCTACAAATCAAGTCTAGAGTATCCTTTCCTTGCTTGGGGGGAAAACAAAATGTCCAGAGCACTGGCTTTCACTACCACAACCGACACGCCCCTCTCAGCAATGGAGAAGCACTGCGGTTATTTTATTTATTTATTTTTTTGAGGAAGATTAGCCCTGAGCTAACTACTGCCAATCCTCCCCTTTTTGCTGAGGAAGACTGGCCCTGAGCTAACATCCGTGCCCATCTTCCTCCACTTTATATGTGGGACGCCTACCACAGCATGGCTTTTGCCAAGCGGGGCCATGTCCGCACCCGGGATCCGAACTGGTGAACCCCGGGCCGCCGAGAAGCGGAACGTGTGAACTTTGCTGCGCCACCGCGCCGGCCCCAACATTGCAGTTATTAATGGAAGTGTATCAGACCCAAGAATCAGCACCCAGCATGGTGCATGGCCCACAGCAGATGCTTAACACATCTCTGTTGAATGAAGCCCTGGCACAAAACAAAGAGTGCAAGCTCTAGACCCTGAAGACCCGGCTAGCGAAATCGTGTGCAAGTCAATTAACTTCCTGCATCTCAGCATCTTCATTTATAAATTAAAATGAATGCTTATTTCATGTCTTACTGCTGTGGAGACTCAGAACAAACATGGACGCATTCTACATACTATAAGCTCTAGACAAACACCACTGGATATTGTGGGCTTTGTTACCTGGAATGAGTGAACAAAGTTAAGGACTTGTAGAGAGAGTTTTCTACTGGAATGTAAGAGGTTTTGAAGGCTGAAAAAAAGAGAGGAAAAGTTTAAAACAAACATATAGACAAGAACTAATATTTTACAGAAGTTTAATTTTAGCAATTTAAATGAATTTATATATGTATATATACCCTGATTAATCACAAAAAAATTTTTAAACAATTTCAGTGTTCTCATCAATGAAATTTCTGCCTGTTTTAATAATACAGGCTAACAGTGCACAAAAAGACCATTTTGAAATAAAATATCACATATAACCAAAATCAAAAAGTTACCATTTAAAAAAAAGCTTAAACTATTAGCAAATATAAATGTTAAGTGAAAGAAAACTTGTAAAATAAAAATGTGGGCACTTTGAGGGATGGCACTTATAATACAAACTTCAAATACCCAAGTTAAGTTTAAAATACATCCTGATAAAAAGTCTGAAAGATTTAACATTCATCAACCCACCTAAATTAAATATTTTTGAAATAGTAAATTGGTAACAATTATAGCAGCAATCTTTAAAGTGTATGTAGTATTTTTACTTTTTATTCAGGTTTGTTATTTTATTTTCAGAGGATAGTTGTTAAAATTATTTGTCAATTAAGGACTTTTAATCTCCTGATATACGTTACATTAAGCCAATTAAATGAATTACTTATTATTCAACTTTGTTTTTCTAAAGTCAAGAAGACCTGAGAATATTCTCTCTCCAAGGCAGCCACCATGAGAATCACATTCAATGATAGTCTTTTCTGCTAACCAAGAGTCTCAGAACCTTTACAACCCTGCCATTTATCAGCTGCCCTCAATGGATCAGAGTTGGCATATGAGATGAAACCTACACATCATCTCTGATATGTAATACATGCTCATTTTAGGAAACGTGGAAATTGAAGAAAATTTAGAAAGTCAGCCATAATTCTACCACAGAGATAATCACTATTAACATAACATAATTCAGCATGTTAAGAGAAGTACACAGGAGAAATTTTCTATAGACATTTACATATTAAAAAAACGAGGTTCATATTCTCATAAGCATGCCCATTTTACCATACCCTCACCAAATCTGGGTAACTAAGTAAATAAAATTATGATTAACCAAAATGTGCCCCAAATATCTGCATGTGCCTAATTTCTGAGGAACTAAAGTTTAATTCTGAAAAATATAGCAAAACCCTTAAACTAGCAATCATCACTCAATCAACTAATATACGCAAGGCAATTACCATGTTCATGTGTGGAATAAAAGAAAGTAAGATATAGCAACTATTACTGAGAGCTTAAAAATCTCACAGATGAAAAGATAACAATGAATATAAACCCTTACCTCTCTTTTCTGCAAAGACCATGTGTAGCAATTTTTCTACAAACTTTCCGGTTTAATTCAGAACTAAACAGTGGAATTCCAAAGCACAGCTCCAGAGGAACCCAATCTGCTTCTGTTGTGGCAACTACAAAAGGATATACAGAGTCATTAAGTACATATATTCATATATATTACGACTGACCAGAGTTTCTTAACTGTGGTCCAGATAATCTCACAGATTCCTCCCAGCCCCACTGACATCCATCAAGGGGGTAGCAGGGGAGAGGCCTCAGAGGGGGTCAGTGAATCTCTGAAACAGGAAAGACTGTTTTCTGAGTACGTACACGCTTCTGGGGAGAAGGTACATAGCTGTCATCAGATGCTCAAAGTGGTCTCTTACCCAAAAAAAGGTATTGCAAGACAGCTATAAGATTAGAGAATTATGTAGCCAAAATATTTAACACAGGAAACCTGAAACTTGTCACTATTCTCAGGTAATATTTTTATAATACTTTAATTATTATTCTAAATATATAAAAATGTTCCCTAGAAAATACTTATTAAAAGGCCCATTATGGACAAGAGTAGACAAATGACCGAACAAAAGAATTAAAACTCAAAAATTAGTCTAAGGTTGCAAATAATTTCTAAAACTTGACCAGAGTTTTGCTTTGTTGCTGAATCTATAGCTGCTTCTTCAATGACCATTTCAAATGACTCTGTACTCCCATTCACATCCGAGCCAGAGGCCAAATCAGGTTCTCCTGATAATTAAAGGACAGACACAGTATTAGAATTGTAGCAGTTGGCATAAGTTGTCAATAAATCAGTCCTAACATAAAAGACGTCAGGCAACAGAAATGACACTGGAAAACAATGACTAGTCTTTAGCCTAAAGCAGTGGTTTTCAACTGGGGGGCAATTTTGTCCCCCAAGGAACACTGGCAACGTTTGGAGACATGTTCGAGTGTCATGAACGGGGAGAGGGGTGCTACTGGTATCTAGGGATGCTGAACACCCTACAATACATAGGGCAGCCCCCACACCAAAAGAATTATTCAGCTCAGAACATAAACAGTGCTGAGGTTGTGAAACCCTGGCCTAAAGAAACAAGGATTCAAAGGCAGAACACAAGTTTAGACTTTCACTAAGATGATTACTCAAGTCATTTCTACCCCCATGGAAATATGCAGTCTGATTACGTCATTCCTCTTCATAATTCGTTTGACTCCCTGTATCTTTCAGCATATAAGATCCTCCAAGATCTGCTGGATCTACCGACTTCACTATTCTCATCTACTACTGCTCAACAAATCCTTTCTTGGGGCCAAGATGAGCTACTCTATTGCCTGATTCCCTCTGCCAGAAAGGCTGCTACCCTCCAAATAAACAACAATCATCTCTGTGTAGTTAACTCCTCATTTTTCAAAATTCAGTTCAAACTTTACCTTCTCTAAGAGGCCTTCTCTGATAGCTCAACTGGGCTGAGATATGCCTTCTCTCTCCTACTGCATGCAGTCTTTTAACACTACACAGTAGGCTGATTTACTTGCTTGTCTCTTGTTGTAGGGTTTTATTCCTCAGGTCTTACTAATTTAAGTATCTCCAGCACCTCAGCAGGTATTCCATAAATGTTTGTGGAAGGAATGAAATAAAACATGACAGCTGTAGCAGACATGCATGGAAATGACTGCCTAACCTATACTCCTCTCCTCTGGAAAAGGTCCGTGATACCTGGCAGTCACTGTTGAAAGCTACCCCACTCCCTGGCCAAAGGCAAATGGACCAGGAGTGGATACCTAACCCAAAGGGAGCCAATCCAACCCACTGGATGGCCAGTGATCAATCACAGTGTCTCAGGACTTCAAACGAAGAGGCAGAAGGAACATATCAAGCAATGACAGACACTTGAATTGAAAGGTTTCCTAGAGTCACAGACCAGAGCTGGCACCATGGCAACCAAAGCTACACACAAGCCAAAACTGCCAGAGCAGAAACAATCTGTAAGCATGAGAAGGTGATTTGAAAATGAATTTTTTAATTAAAAAGAATGAAAAAGGTACGCAAAGAAAATCAGCTGTTGTCAATAAGCAAGATAGGGTGGAGACAGAAGAAGAATGAGGCCAGGAAGGCTAGGCAGGAAATGGTTGTAATAATACACCTTCAAAGTATCAAGACTCAGACTAGAAGGGCAGTTCTAGGGAATTAAAAAAGAAGAGAGAAGGGAAGAAATGGATACGAGAGGCATTTCTAAAGTCTAATTCACAGAACTTGGAAACTAACTGGACAGAGTGGGAAAAGGAGGAGGACGAGACAAAGATACAATTTTCGGCCTGCGCAACTGAGACAACGGGGCCTTTGACAGAAAAAGGAAGTCTGAAAGGGAAAAACTGTTCATTCTATTTTAGAAACATTTTTACAAAGAATCTAAAGTTTTGAAACCATCACCCCACAAAGGGTGATTTTTGAATTAAAGCCTATAAATATAGACATGACAGGAAAGGGCTAAAACCAATAACCGTTCTGTATTCCAGTCCCAGGTCACTTCTTTAGTCATGCACTTGATATTTTCTCCATTTGAACAACTGCTATTTGTCCAACTCATGTCACAGAATATTTTCTCATCCTCCAGTGGAAAAAACATTAAAGTATTAAATAATTCGACATCTTCACAAAGGTCTCTCTGCTTTTTAAATATTAAGATTGTGATACACTCGATACTTTAATTATTATTCTAAATATATAAAAATGTTCCCTAGAAAATACTTATTAAAAGGCCCATTATGGACAAGAGCAGACAAATGACCGATTAATGAAAAGAACCCAACTATCGGCTAACCTCTCTCATCGGAAGCATCACTGAGTTTTCTGTTTGCAAGCTGGCTAGAAGCATTCAGCATGGTGACATATCCACAAAAATGCTGCAAGTCCACTTTGTTCCTTAATATTTGCAGCGCCTGATGAACACCCATATTGACACGAGTAAACTCTAAGAACAAAGAGTTGACATCACATTATGAGTAAAAAGTTCTATAAAATAACACAACACCAAAAGCTTAAACATCCTTTTCTTTTATTAAACAATTCTTAGAACTACTTTTATACTTTAATCTATCAAGACTGATTCCAGTGAAGAAACATCTGTGAATGTAAAAGGATGGAGTACACTGTAACATATTTACAGCCTTCAGGAGGCATCTGCTTATCAGAACAAATTACCTGCTAAGTAAGCAAACAGAGCCAGTCAGTGGCAAATTCTCTAGACTTCTCTTTGTGTTCTCTTCTGCCTCAAATGCTTAGTTGGTGGGTTTCTACCAGGAAATGTACTAAATACACAGTAAAGTTTTTAAAAATTTAAGAAAAGTAAAATTATTCTTATTAAAACTAAAGCTAACAATGTACTTGAAAATATATCCCTAATAAACTATTTAAACATCAGCTCAAGTTCTCATAAATATGTGATCTTATAAAAGAGAAAGATGCTCTATACACAAATACGAAGACTCCTCTTCTTCATAATTCACACAATCATCTCCCAAGGCAGGAGATCTATCAATCTGTTGTTGAGATTTTATAAATTTTAAGATCCTATTGTCACTATCCTATATCTTCAGGTGAACATTTTTTCCATAGAATGTATAGAGTATGAGAGGATGAAACAGCAAAGTTTAGTTGCAAAGAAGTACTTATTTCTGAATAGGGGCTGTTTTTCGGAAGAGAAAACTCTCTTCTCCAAATTTTGTACACATTTATTCACAATAGCCAAAAGAGCACTTAATTTCAAACGAGGCTTTTGCAGTCTAGCCATGTGAAAAGGAGAAAGATATTTATAAAAATTTTCCTTTTTATAAAAGGAAGAGGGAAAGGGAGAGGGGGGAGGGGACAGTATTGACTAACGCTTTGGAAGAACAGTAAGCTCTTCTATGAATTAACCTAAGTTAAATTACTTGAACCATTCACTGCTCTCTCTAAAAACCCAAGCAACATGGCTCTAAGAACCAGAAAAATAGATTACACAACAGCAGGTGGCATGGAGTGGGAAGCGCAAGTAGTACATAAATAGATGTAAGTTTTAATTGCACAGTCTTTTCCTTTTGATTACATATACCTTCTTAATATTCAACAGAGAAAAGGTATCTTCTATATTAGACAAAAGGAAGAATGAATTGGCTTTTATAGAAATTCTTTGAGCATCTTTCATCAACTGTACACGGCTCACATCAAATTCTAGAAAGACAGAACATTAAACAGGGCATTCCCCCTTGATTCTAACTAGCTTAATTTAGCTTAAACTCTGCAATCCACTCAAATCCTCTCTAATAGCAAAAATAAAATTTAACAGCAAAAACAAATGCTCAAACAGGAAATACATGTAAGTGCTCTGTAACTGTAAAGTAATACAATGCTCATTCACATCCATTTCTAAATTACCTAAAAAAGCTCCTGAAAAAAACAGTATGTAACATTGGGAAAAAAATCAACTTTCTAAGAATAAAATCTTCCTTGTGACTTGCCTTCTGCTCCAACCTCCAAATAAATCAACAGTAAAAGGAAACTAAAAGGCTAAACATATAGAGACCCAGTCTTCCATCTAGGCAGATAGCTACTTATCCTCTTCATCTCCCAGGCAGACTAGTATTTCTTCAAACATCCTAAATGAGTCTTATTCTATCTGCTCTGTATGGGAAAAGGCACAATAGGTAACTACCTTTTGCCAAAACTCTTTAAAAGCAGAATGGTAAGACCCTAGAACTTAAAAATTTTAGAATTCACTTCCTGCTATGTTTCCACCAAATTGTTGACAAAGATTAAGATAGGGAGGTCGAAAGGATACAATTCAAAAGTAAGGTACCTCCTTGTAGTTCTGTTTCATCAAATGGGAATGGTATGTGGACAGTTTCTCCTATCCCATGCAAACCATGGCCCTAAACAGGAAGAAACACAAGTTGAAAGGTATATGAAAAACCTGTATTTCCAGTAACAGATACTCAAACAATAAATATTGTGCCATGTGATGGTATATTCTACATTAATACTCCATCAAAATGCTGTCAACAATTCTCTAGTTTTCTCCAGCAAGCAAAGACAATCTTAAGTGCATACTAACCTATAAGGCAATGTGTTTCAAACTGAGTGCATGAACTAACGAAAAGAAAGGAGTCTGATTTAACAGGTAACTCAGGTGTTAGCCATGCGAAGACTGAATGAGATCAAGTGCACTCGCCCAAGGGTTGGCTGTAGTTCATCACCCAGCATACCATGGACTAGGAGCGCAAGACTCAAAGACCTGCACTGGAGGACATAGATGCAAAATTACCTGCTCTAACATTATCATTATGTGTAACTGGAAACAACCAGAATGTCCATCAGCAGGGGACTGGTTAAATAAATTAAGCTGCGCACTGTGAATGTAGCTGCAAAAAAGGAAGAGGAAGTTCTCTACAAACTGAAATGGAAAGACCTCCAACTGCTAAGCGGAAAAAGCCTCGGCATATCAGTGTGTGACTGCTTGTATATGGATAAGCAAACTCTAGAAAGCACAGGAGAAACTAAAAAATGTGGTTATCTGACATGCAGGAAAGACGGGGAGTGGGAGCTGGGTAGACAGTGTTGGAAGGGCATGATACTTTTCTCTGTGCATCTTCGAAGTGTTTTATTTCAAATCACGTGAATGTACTATCAATTTAAAAATTAAATTAAAAAAAAAATCTACGAGGCTAACCACCCCACAAGAATGTTACAAATAATTTAGTTTGATCCACCACAATTAATGTCATTCATCCCAATTTTGTTAAAGATTTTTGTATTTAAAGCCCTAAATCTTTTGGTTTTACAGGTGTGTAAGAATAATAAGCATGAACAATTTAATCTTATGTTCATATGCGTTTAGTATCATTATAATAGAAAATTTAAATTAACACTGGGGATCTACACATTTTTTCCCCTTTAAAAGAGACATTATTCAAATTCAAGATACTGTGACATAAAAGAAAAAATTTCAGAGAAAAATTACACTCATTTAGTTGGTTCATATGACAACTTGAATATGTTTCTGACAGCTCACTTCTATTCCATTGATACGTTTATGATTTAAACGCTAAAAAAGATAGTTATAATAAAAGCATGATTTTAATCAAAATCTTGTTTTAAGTTCCAACAAAGTGAATTTTTCCCATAAAATATAATAAAGGAGGCATTTTTTTTAAGCAAAAGTAAAACTCCTTAACAAACACTTAAAGACTCCTTTCACTCTATTACCACCACTGCCGCACAGCTAGGATTTTTTGAGATCTTCCTATGTGCTAAACACAGAACTATGCATTTCACGTGGATGATCTTCTCAGTCATTCTTTTCAACAACTTTATAAAGATAGAAAATTTTATTACCTCCAGTTTTCAGGAGAAGTCCCTGAAGTTGAAGGAGGATATATGACTTGCCCTAGATTACTACAAGCGGTGGGATCAAGATCTGAATTTAAGCAGTCTGATTTCAGCCGATGTCTGACCCACTCTATTACGCTCTCTCCCACCACCACCCCTACTGCACATTTTCCTCTTTAATGCATCCTCTCTCATGGTTTCAACTACCATCTCTGTGCTGACGCTGACACACAAGTCAATCTCTCCTGTTCAATCTCTCATTTGAATTTCAGAATATTTTCAATTACCTACTAGATATCTCCTCCACCCAAATGTCCCACAGGTACCTTATCCTCAACAAGCCCAAAACACAACACATCATCTGCCCCCATAAACTGGCTCTTCCTCCTGTATTCTCTCACGTAGTGATATCACCATTCTTCCACCTTCACAAGCCAAACGCCCCAGGAACCATTCTCTTCCTCTTCTCACAGCTTTCTCAGACATGGGATCGATTCTATTAATTTTATACTTGTAATAATTCTTAAGTCTGTTTCTTCCTTTCAGTTCTTATGACCATTCCCTGATCTGGGCTGTCTTCATCTCTTATCCGGACTCCTACACTGAATCCTAATTGTTCTTCTTGCTTCAGGTATCTCTCCCCACCTAACCATTCTCAACAGTCTCCAGGTTGATCTTCCAAAAACACAACTGACCATGTTAATCCCCTGCTCAGCACCCTTTACTGGGTGCCATCCATCTCTAGGGAGAAGTCTAAGCACTACAGCAGGACAGTTAAGGAAGACCACACGCCAAGGACTGCCTATTTCTTCAGACTCATCTCCAACCACCATCCCATCACACTGCAACTCACCCCTCAAAAACACCTAGCAGCTTACAGGCCCAGCATGTGCTCCCACTTCACATTCCTATTCATTATTCAACACTCACTCAATGAGCAGCTACTATGAGCCAGGCTCTGTTTTAGGCACCAGGGAAATAGCCACAAAGAAAGAGAAAAAAATCTCTGCCAAGAGAGTTATTCATGCTGACCTCTCTCCTGGCCTTGCTCTCTTCTAAATCATCCTTTTATACTCAGCCTGGGTCTCATCTTCTCTAAGGAGCTTCCCTGAAGCCCTTCTCCTTGCCCCAAGGCTGGACTTGGTACTTCTCCTTAATGCTTCCACTGTTTAATTCTATTCAACACTCAGCAAAAAGCTGAAACTAACTGCTCATGCAACTTTTCCCACCAGACTTAAGTTCCTTGAAGACAGGGATCATGTCTTATTTATATAAGCACGCTAATTAGCACAAAATATGGCACATACAATTGAGAGTTGAATGAAATTAATGAAATCTTTACTGAGAACCTATTATGTACCAGAAAGTGCACAGCACACTTCACACACGCCTTATCATTTCATTCTCTCAACAATCCTATGACTATAAACGGCTTACCTCACCATTAGCTGTTACTATTATTTTGTTGTTGTTGTTATACAATAGATATTACCATCTCCATCTTACACATGGAAAACTAAGTATAAGAGAAGTACCTTCAAAATGTCACACACCACTTCACACTCGCTGGGGTGGTTATAATAAAAAGAGATAATAGTAAGTGCTGGAGGGAACATAAAATGGTACAGCAATTTGGGAAAACAGTCTGGCAGTTCCTTCAAGAATTTAAACATAGAGTTGCCTCATGACCCAGCATTTGCTGGTCCTAGACATATACCCAAAAGAAATGAAAAGATGTCCACACAAAAACCTGTACATGAACACTTCTCACAGTGATTATTACTATTTACAACAGCTGAAAAGTGGAAGCAACCCACATGTCCATCAACCCATGAATGGATAAACAAAATGTGGTATATCCACGAGGGAATATTATGTGGCCATAAAAAGGAATGCAGAACTGATACATGCTACATGATGAACCTTGAAAACATTCTGCTAAGTGAAAGAACCCAGTGACAAAAAGACCACATACATGATTCCGTGTATATGAAACGCCCAGAACAGGCATTCTAGAGAGACAGCAAGCACACTAGTGTTACTGGGCTGGGGAGAGGCGGGGAATAGTAGAATAGAGGAGTTAGAACGAACGATACAGGAAAACATTGTAAAACTGAGTGTGGTGATGGCTGTAGATATCTATGAATACACTAAAAACCAGTGAACTATACAATTTAAATTGGTGAACTGTATGGTATGTGAATTATATCTCAATAAAGCTACTACTAAAAATAAAATAGGGCCACCTAGGCAGCAGGCTGGAATTCAAGCTGGGTCTACCTTCCAAGTCCATGTTGTTTCTACTACTCCCACAGTGCCAGGCAAAGGCCAGGACTAAACCCAGATCTCTGATTCCTTACGTTTCAGCTTTACAAATTTCAAATTACAGACATCTGATTGCAACTCAGCAGAAAGTTAGACAAATTATTATCTTTAAAAATCTAAAACTGATTGTTTCAAAGAAGGTACTTACCTGAATTAAAACCGCCGAATGTGTTAAAGCATCATTCAACATCGTGAGCACATTTGATGTAGGAACTACCCCAGGATCATGACCCCAAGAAGTTATTAATAACCGATCATAACCCTATGAGAAAGAAATGAATATAAGACAACACAGCATTTAGAAATAAGAAACAAATTAAGAAGGTTATCCATAATACTGCTTACCAATTTCTACCCTCCTCAAAAATAATTTAAGAAAACGAAAAGCCCTTGCACAACATACCTGGAATATATCTGGCAGTTTTCGAAGCCTTGTACCTTTGGACAGTAAAAGAGATGGTGGTCCTTGCCTGGTGATGTGGTAAATGTACAGTTTAAACCAGACAGAACTGACTTCCGGGATAGCTGGTCCAATATGCTATAATCATAAAACAGGTAAGATAAGGTTGCTAACACTTATCTAAAGAAGCCAAATTTCACAAGTGACCAAGTATAGTCTTATAAACAGCTAATGCCTCATATAAATGTTAACTGCTATTATCCTTACAAAAATAAATTTTAAACGCTCCATTCAAACAGTTTCAGTTTTACACTGGAATTGAGAAAGCACGTCTTACCACTGCAATTAAGAGCATGGACTCTGGAGAAGATTACTGAGAGGTGAATCTTGGCTTTACCCCCTCAGCCACATCACCTTAAGGTTACTTCAGCTCTCTTGTGCCTCATTTTGCTCATTTGTAATATGACAACAAAATACTTACCTCAGGAGGATATTTTTAAGGTTGTTCAAAAGGTTAAACACAGCACCTGGTACATATTGAGCTCTATATCAAAGTGTTAGCTATTATCCTCATTAATCATATGCCATTTTTCACAAAAGGGACTATCTAACCTTCCATCCATCTCACCATTCATTTAGACAGTTCAAGGATTCCTACTATGCCTAGAGGTTGTGTTAAAGAGGAAGGGGGGCGGGGCACAAAGAATTATAAGGAAAAAGTTGGTAAGTGCAAATCCTGTCCAGTCCTGTTGAACAGAGGACGAAATGGGGTGAGGAGGGTACGCTCACTGAGGCAGCAAGGTCAGCACAGGCAATAGAATCAACCTTGCACAAGAATCTCTTCCTCTCTTCTACACCACTAAACCTTGCACATCTAGGAAACCTGGCAGGACGCAGCACTGAAGAACAGTAACACAATCCCCACTCTTTGAAAATCGTGGAGGCCATAGCATCCTTGCTAAGTATCCAAATAAATGCAACTGGTTTAGCTTTAAAAAGTAAAAGACCAGAAGTCATTCTCACAAGTAAATTTTAAAGATAACAAGAGTTCTAGCTTTCAAGCATAATCTTTTCAGCTTATTTAGCATCATGGCTCCACTTCTAAAACATTTCATTTTTCCTAATTAAATTTATCTTATCCCTGAAGGCGATCCAGGCTTCCTTCTTAGAGCACCCAAGGACGTTCTCTTTAATAGCCTGTATTCATGAGGAAAATTTTAATCTAATATGTCACGAGTCACTAGATGATATAGAAATTAAATATACCAATTATATCTCACAGATCGAACATCTTACAACAGCATAAAATACAAAACTGCTTTCTGAGTCGATGATTTTAATACTTGGTATCTGCAAATGAGCATTAACACAATTACACTGCTAGAGCTCTTCTTCCAGTTGCCAAGAGAGGGATGAATGGCAACATGGGCGATCTTCGAGCGGGTCCTTACCTGAGGGGCGCAGCTGCTGACGGGCCGGATTTCGTTGGTGAGAGGAGCCATGGAAACGAGCAGTGTGTAATTTTTGTTTAGAACTCTGCTGCAAGTTGCAGGGTCCAGACCAAGAAGGCTTTCACAGCGTAAGAGATCCAGAGGAAAACCTGAATTATGATCAACCATACACACAGAATGAAAGACTGACAACATGAAATAAAATGTCTAAGATGAGATAATGACAACTGCCTTGAGATTTAAAACATTTTTGTAAGGTAGAATATCTCTACTAAAAAGTGCCAAATTTCCTAGGAGACCACTAAGACACTTTAGGATTTAATGCTAGAAGTCTTTACTCTCCGGTCCGGAAAGAGAACTGTCTCCTAGGGCTTCTTCAGGCTACCTTTTTCTCTAGGAACATGGTGCTGCTTTACCTTCCTCCCTTCTCCATCCCCAGCCACAACATGGCAGTGGCACATTAAGTGCCTCGGGAAAGCTGTGTCCTTCCCTCCCCTAATTTCCAATCTCTACAAAGAACGTCACGGTCCAGTTCTGAAGTTACCACAGGGGCATTCCTCACTTAGAAATACGTGCCACAGACTGGTGGTCCATCAAGCATGAACTCACTCAGCATGCAACAGATTTTAAGTGTTCCCATTCTTAATCCTTTTGAAAATACCATTCCTATTGCTGTCTAAAAAGAGATATTTGAAACTTCAGAAGATCAAGTTAGCCCTTCTCTCCCTCTAAGCAAGAATGAATCTAAAAACACATATGGCCTGCTGAAACGGCCTAGAAGCACTGAACACAACTGACACCAGGATCTTGGTCTTTAGTGCTTTTCACCAGTAAACCAAACCAGGCTCCTAGGAGAAAAGACTGACTCCAGAGCTGGAGCAGAAGTAGAAGATAATATAAAATGAGATGTGTTGTGAAGAGAAGAGATGAGATGAGATTAGTTTTGCCAGAAAGTAAGGAATTACTCCTCAAAATAAATTTTTTTTAAAAGATGAAGGTACGGCACCAGGGGAGAGGAGCCCATTGACAAAATCTAAGACAATCGTAGCACAGAAATAATTAAGAGACAGTGATGACTAATTATCAACCACTGAGAAAAGAGAAATTTCTAAGTCTATACTGAGAATATTAAAGAAAGCCTAGTCCCAACTGTCAAATGAGGAAGAAGTGCTGGAGTCGGAAAAAAATGATCAATTTGCAACGACCAGAGTAAAGAATGGCTCATGCAAGAATCGTCAATGGATGCTAAATCTAGGAGAAAACACTGATGAGAAGTAGGATATTTGCAGGGTCTTAGAATGTCTCCCCACAGATCGCTTATTCGTTGAGGGGGGGGAAATAGTTTATGTATACAGTGGAGAAATAAGGAAACACAATAACTGGTGACCAAAATTAACATCACAAGGAGAGAAGCTTAACCGAAGTTTAGTTAACAAGCATTTTGTTCTGCTTGATCAGTGGGGACAAGCAGTTCAGCTAACTGCTTATGAGGCAAAGGGAAGTGGGAGAGTCTGTGTCTGGCCTCTCAGAGGTAAACAAGGGGGCACCCATGAACCCTAAGTTACATGGGGAAAGGGTGGGTCCTTGCACTGAGCCCTTTTCCAAAACACACAAGAGTGAGGATATTTCTTAACCTTCAGGTAAAACTCAACATTGTCAATGTCAGGTAGAGAAAACGTTTAATGAATACTAAGATAAGGAAGGAGGGAACCCTAAAGGGTTGACGGTGGTTAGAACAAGATTTTTACAACGGTGATTGCTTTTCTACAAATGTGATTTGATTTATCAACATTTCCACAGTACTGACTGCCAAATTACAAACAGCAGCTTTTATGTCTGACTTGTACTGATCCTAGCAGAAAGATGTCTTTTTAAAGACAAATATCTGAAAAAAATCACGCTTCTAAAATGAAAAAGAATTAGACGACGCATTGTTTTTATTGTTTAAGCAGGGCCTCACGCTGTCTGAAACCAAGAGATTCCTAAGAAGCTAGTCCTTCTCACCTATCTCAGAGGTTTGCTTCCAAGTCAGTATCACAAAGCTTTTGCTATACAGTGAATACCAAGCACTACATGGACACTCAAACTACAAATTAGTGACCTAAAAAGAAAATTGTTTCTACTCAAAAAAGATGCTTAAAACACCAATACTACAGATTTCCTTTTTTTAAAAAGAGTAAAATTAAGTCATCATGTCCAGCACCTACAGAAAGCAACCTTACTCCACATGGAGAGTATAAGCCCTAATGCCCTGAGTGATTCTTTGTATGGAACAAATGGACCTTCTTTTCTGTGCATCTAGAATGGCACCAGCCATGCACCCTTATTAGAAAAATTGAGAAACAGTCACTTTTATTCCTGTGTTCTGTGGTTCCAATGAAGAGCCTCAGTCAAGAAGCGCTGGTTAAAAGAATGAAATGTCAGAAATAACCGCAGATCTGGTCTCACGGGGAGGAAGGAGTTAATCACAATTTAACGTTGGAGCCATGTCAATTATTCCAAGCAATTAAAGATCCAACTGATGACAGAACAGCCAACTATTAAACCTACCTTAAAGGCTGGAATTATACTTAACTGCTTTCATACAGAATAGATTTAGGTTTACCATTTAACTTACTCAATGGTACACAGACTATTCATGGTGAAAAACAAAGTTTAGTCCAGACTTCTAAGCAACAGATTGTTTATGAATAAATCAACAAGGAGCTTAGTGTTCAAGAGAAAATAATACAAGGGACAGAGCAAAGGGAAACATTTGAGAGACACGGATTCAAGTCCCAGCTCTTCCACTGTCTAGTCCTATGGGCTTTAATGACTAGATGGGCAGGGGATTAAACCAAGCTAAGCTTCCACTCCTTCATCTACAAATTGAGTTACACTTGACTCGTCACTAGCACTCTCTAACACTCTCAGATTCTGCGACGGGCAGGAAAGGACGATATACTTCAAGACAGCTATAATACGGTATTTCAAATATTCTAACCCATTATCTCTATAAGTCACTAAAAAGTCCCCAAGATTCCAGGATTTTTACATTCAAAGACATCTTCAAGACTGTGCCACTCACACTATCAGATCACAAGATCTAATATTTGGTAGTCAAAAAATGGTTACTATCAACAAATGCTTATTAATAAGTGCTTTAGACTCTTGCTATTTGGTAATTTAATACTCTGTTCTAACTATTTATGACTAATCCAAAGAGCCCAGCATAAAGTCACTCATAATTCTGCTAATGCTTAATTCTGAAGCAGCCGCGCTGAGGTTGCAGGAGTGGGAGTTGATACAGAGTGTGTCTAGCCTGACTCAGCTAAACTACTCAGCATCTTTGTTCCCACCTATGCAACAACACTTGTGACGTGACAATGGATTCCACCCTTAATTTGCTTTGTCCTTAATTTCTTTAATTGTGCTAAAAAGAAAGCCAGATGCTAGTGAAAGAAATGGAATGAAGACGGATATGACTACGAAACTGATGGGTTTGGGCCAGAAAACAGAACTTTTAGATAAATGAAAGAATGAGTGAAATTAAATGTTATGGTAGTGCTAAGAATTCAGGAAGTCCCAAGATGCAACTCTTGTGAATGCCCGAGGACTTGAGTGAGATACTCTTACACTGGTGCCCAGGCCGTTGCACCTTTGTAAAAACACACATTCCTGGGTGCCACTCCCCGACTCAGGACCTAATGAATCAGAGATTCTGATGCCGCCAGTTCCACTAAAGTTTGGGACGCCCCGTCTATCACAAAAGCTGAGAGTGCACACTAGGTCAGCAGCCACATTAGAGTTCACTGATAGATTAAAATTGCTACTATTTCTTTCTTTTAAAAAGAGGTTATTTGTTCCCTTTTTTATTTTTTAAAGTAAAACACTTTAGTAAATATTACAGCAACATTTGAATGGGAAGCGCTTATTTATTATTTTTATACAATGGAATCTTTCATTCTTGAAATTTTATGCTTCCTAAATTAACTACATTTTGGCATTTGTTCACCCCTCAGAACTGATGCCTGTTCTAAATTCCATCCCGCTACTTAAACAAATTAACACTCTAACCTTTTTTGTAGGTACCAAACAGACTTAAATAATACAAATGTCAGTAGCACATAAGAGACGAGAAAAAGCAATTAAGGTTAAGAAATAGTTGACAAGCAAAGAAATTCACAAAACAAGCCTCTAGTTATAAATTCAATATGCTGTCTACACAAAATGTACTGAGTAAGTGATGATTAAATAAGTGAGCATGACCTGTTCAATTTCTTAGACAGAAGTTCCATACGACCATGTCTTCAAAATCAAGTGTATTTATCATACCATAATTGGGTTGGTCTGGCTGTGCAGTTTGTGCAACTAGATCTTTATTATGACGCAGAAACAGTATTGTGTTTCTCAGAGTAAGTGCATGATCAAAATATCTCTGTGCTTCTCCTTCACCAGTGCTCTGAACCTAAACCAAGAGAAAATAAATTTTGCAACAAATACCACTCTCACACCATTCGTTCTAACATATAACCATATAGAAAAGATATTAAGACATGATTAAAAATCAATAAATCATAAATTTGCTCAGCCAATACTGAAACAAGTATTAGCCTCAATCTCAGTTGAGTTTCCACTTCACTACATCTTTGACAATGATAGAAATTACCCCAATAAATAAAACAATGTTAGCAACCAAATAATGCTCAATTATATCATTATATAAATTATATGTCCCATATATGATTCAAATAGGGTGCTTATTTGAAAAACTGTAAGATGTATACATTCTGCTTCATCCAGAAAGAACTCCAATCAATGGCCACCAACAATGCCTCTCATTCTCATCACCTTGTTCACAATTTGCATCACTGGTTGCAAGGGATAATGGAGTATGTGATTCAACACAGCTGTTCAACATTGCTGAACATACAGCTTAAATTCATTCAACAAGGATTCACTGAGGCCCTTATCACGTGTTCTGACCTGTCTAGGATGTATAGAGTAGTAGACAAAACTCCTGCCTTCACTGGGCTTACACTTTAACGCACGCTCTTGTGACACTGAGTCAGTCACCTATTTAATATGTCAAAACACATACACCCCAGAAACAACACAGAAAATGGAAGGACAGGTCTACAGGGGGAAATGACCAAATTATATTTGCATTAAATTAATAAGACCAACCAATTACGTTTAATCAAGATGAGGCTTCTTAAAAAACAGCTAAGAAACTCTTTTTAAGAACTAAACTTCAGACTAGAAGGCTTTCCCAAGAATAACTATATGGTAAAAAACAATGTAGATATATAAAGAGTAAAAGTAACCTTCCAATTTGCTACACTTGATAAAAGACTAGCTGAGGTGAGAAAAATAAAAATCAGGAAAACAGAACTTAAAATGTGCTAGAACATAATTAAAAATTTACTGGAAAAGATGATACACAGTAAGAAATGGAGTTAACAAGATACTGAAAGTCCAGAGAGAATAATGGAAATATAAAGGTAAAAGAGAGCAATTAATAACAAGGATCATGTCATATATTTCTGCACTAAAAAAGTAAAAAGCCTATGAAGAAGGATGAATCTAAAAACACATACGGCCTGCTGAAACAGCCTAGAAGCACTGAGCACAACTGACACCAGGATCTTGATCTTTAGTGCTATAATAAAAAGCTAGTTCACAGGTTCAGATCCAGGGTGCAGACCTACACACACCACTCATCAAGCCATGCTGTGGCAGCACCCCACATACAAAATAGAGGAAGACTGGCACAGATGCTAGCTCAGGGACCATCTTCCTCACCAAAAAAAAAAATTCGAAACTACTTGAGAGGAGGGCTCAGAGAGTCATAACAAAAAAAAATTAAAGTGAAAAAAATGTTAATGGTCTTTTTTTTAAGATATAAAGGAATTTTTACAAAATCATCAACAGTTCTCTGAACAGCACATTTAATACACAGTGTTCATCACTAAAGCACAAAGCGTTCCTAAATGATTAGTCAAGGAACAGAACAGGCATACCAACTGTTTGCACAAAGAGCAGAGGACAGAGTGAAAAATCCAGGAAAAGAAAAACACCAAAAGGGCAACCAAGACTGAGAGCCAAGGAAAATTCAGGCTGTCTTCATGGGGAAAAAGGTGGATAAGAGCAAATATGGCTGAAGTCTTCAAGAGACTAAAAGGGACAGTGAGACCAGACATAAATATGATGCCCAAGGACAGTTCCAGATCTAGGATAAATGGAACAAAAATGTCAAAGAAGGGGCCAGCCCAGTGTGTAGTAGTTAAGTTCACACGCTCTGCTTCGGAAGCCTGGGGTTCACAGGTTCAGATCCAGGGTGCAGACCTACACACACCACTCATTAAGCCATGCTGTGGCAGCACCCCACATACAAAATAGAGGAAGACTGGCACAGACGCTAGCTCAGGGACCATCTTCCTCACCAAAAAAAAAATTTCAAAACTACTTGAGAGGAGGGCTCAGAGACTCATAACAAAAAAAAAATTAAAGGCTACTTTAGCAAAATGCAATTTGAAAAATTACACAGACTAAGATTTCTATACTCTATTTCTTCATTATATCAAACTAGGCTAAGAGTTAGATGAGGTAAAGAAATCACTTTTAAAAATCATAAAATTCATTCATCCACTCGATATGGTTAAGCCTAAATGACTGCCACAGTATTAAGGTGGGGAACAAGGTAGGAAAGAGCAAGAATACACTAAAAATCTACATAATCAACCCCTGATGTTTTATCAAACAGGAAAAGTTCCACATGCCCTGACATCCCATAATAAGCAATCTAGATTTACCTTTTCTAGCTCTATAAGAAAGCTGTCCAGAGACTCATCTGAGAGTTTGCCAACTTCGAACATTGTGACTGCGTGGCTTTTCAAGTTCTGCAAGAAAGAAAGAAAAACAGAAAAATGAAAATGTACCTTAGCATCTTATACAAGTTATTATAAAGTTCTAGTTTTCCCCTTGTTGTTAAGCATAACGTTTCATATTTACATTATGCTTTCCAATATATTTAAACTGAAGGGTGGGTGAGGTGAGGGCTGAGTCATCCAATTACAAAAGCAGCCCTTGCTAAAAAGTTACTACACCACTCTAAGGAATATAAAACAGAGGCAGCTGTGTTTTCAAGAATAAATCTAGTACTTACAAAAAGATATAAAAGCAACAAACTATTTTATATCTAATCTTTATTTTAAACATTTTCATATTTAAACAAGAACTGGACTCACTGGTGAAAGATTTCCCATCATTAAAAAGGCAGTGAGAGTTGAGTCAAATAGGAATGCAATACGTTTTGTATATCCTGTAGACAAACTCAAGCTGCTTATGCTGGCTGTGTCGGCTAGAAAAAAAAAAAAATCATAATTTAAAATCAAGTAAATGAAAATTATTCTTTGCTTATCAATGGAATGAGAAAGTACTTCATTTCAGCTTTATTTAATAACTGGAAAGTACATAATTAAATATAAGCAATACTGTCAACATAAGAGGTCCCAGTCCTATCTCTAACATAAAGTTAAAAAACAATTTTTAAAGGCACTCACTTTTGTAGTAAATTTCTTGACAACCAATAAACCAAGACTTGATTAACTGTCAGATCAGTAAGACTAACCAGCCCAACCTCTTCAGACAAGTCACCGGGCTCAGCTAACAGAGCTCCCTGAGGTAGCAATGGGAGCCCATGCTTTGCTCCTCTACCTACTCAAGATATAATCATGCGCAGCCCCCTCGTCCACCATGTTTTGCCCTCTGTGTGTAGCCCATGCTACGGTCTTCCCTCACTCACCAGCTGGCAAGCTCTATTCACTCCTAGCCTAAGTATCATCTCCAAGAAGACCTCCCGAACCATTCTAGGCAGTAAAGGGGTTCTTCCTCTTTGCTCCCCACAAGCACCAAAACACTTCTCACGTTGTGGTTTTTGCGGTTACACTGCCTTCTCTCTCCCTAGACTTAAGCCTCAGAAGGAAGGTATTATATTCTTGTCAATTTTATACCCTTAAGACCTAGCACAGTGCCCAACATATGGGTAAGTACTCAAAGACTGCATATAGAATGAGTGAAATCTACAACAAAACTAACATAACTGTAAGTCTAGAGAGTTCACTCTGTGAGCGTATGTGCAGACACATTCCGCATCTATAGACAGGCTCTACATTAAACTGAGTTACTGCTAACCTGGATCTTCTTGACTATTTGTATCAGTGTCAGTAGCCGAAGAAGCTTCTTGTACAGGACTCCTACTTTCCCCGCCATCCCAAGATAGGAGCATCTTTTGTGGATCTAAAGTACTCCTATTAACGAAGAAAACATTCACTTTTTAAAAATCATATAGGTGATCTTATATAAAAAAAGCTACTGAAGTCACTACTTAAATTATGAACATCCATATAAATCCAGTCTTATTTATATTCAGCCCAAAACTGAGATGGAGCCCAAACATGCTCTACTCATATCCAGCAAGAGTTCTTAACTAAGACCCACGGCTAGGCTGCAGGGAATTCGAGAACCCTTTAAAATGAGACGTAAAATACTATATGTGCTTTTCTGTGGGGAAAGTTTTCATCAGATTCTAAAAAAGATTCATCACACACAAAAGATTAAAAACCACTAATATATAGGGTTCACCACAGTTGACAGGTTGAATAAGCAAAATGTTTGTATGGAAAATTGAATGTTTCCTTCAAAAGGAAACTCTAATATCTTATACTGAATAAATGAATTACTTTAATCTGTTTACAGACGGAACATTCCTCCAGGATGAATGAAGTTGATCCAAATTTATTACTTGTCCCTTCTTATGGGCAAAGCCCAATCGACAATACATTGAAACAGCATTCTGAAAGGAAGAGAAAGGAAATGAGCATTTAAAATAAACTAGACATCAGAGTATCTGCAGACATAAAATACTGTCATAGACTATGCTTCTAGTGATTCTCTAACACTTTTATGTCCTATCTAGAAAAAGCAATTTTCAGGAGGCCTATGGTTCCCCTAAAGTCTTCACACAGGTAGGAGGGAAAGCTGCCTGTTCCCCGCCTGGTCCTCCCTAGATCCAGCCCAGCGAAGCGGGAGTTGCTGCCTTAACAGCCCCACTACAAGACACAGGTCAGGCTGCTGCCTGCTGTGCACAGAAGTCTGAGCGCTGGCTTTCACTCTGTGGGGTGGACTACTGACCCAGGACCCTTAATCTCGCCCTTTTCTATCCTTGTAAGCGCCCCTTTACTGTGGACACTCCCTCTGAGAGCTAACAAGAAACCCACTGCTTCCCTTTCTCAGTAACTTACCAAGACAAAAATCTACAAGAAAAGCCATTTGGTATTTACGTTAATAAGTAAAAAGTATAAAAATTACCTACCTTTACCAGGGACAAGTCTATCTCAAGGACATTTGCAAGCTGGAAAATAAAATAAAAAATTATTTCACATTCTTAGAATTAGCAATATCACACAGTTGTAACAGACAATTTAACCATAATCAGCAAAATTTAAATTATGAATAATTGAAAGATTAAACAAATTTTGAAATGAGAACTCTCTTCTTCCCACTTCTCTAAGACGCATAGAGTAGTATGAATGCAGGTAGTGATCATAAGAATTTAAGATTCCTTCCTCTTTAATTCTGTCTCATTTAAGATAAGAAAATATCCAGATCAATCAGTAGTCTATAATCCTTTTACTATGAAGTTATATAAAAAGTTATTTAACCAAATTATAAGCTACTAACTAAAATAAATTAAAATGCATATGCAGGAAGTAACTTAAGAATAGGGACTTAGTATATTAATGGTCTATGGTCTACCCACATATAGATTTTGAAAACATTTTAACCATATCATTAAATAACTTTACCTACTTCACACAAACTTATTTTATACCCTTGAGGTTAAATGCTGTCATAAGACATTGTCACACTTACCTCCGCAACATTAGTATGCTCATCTATTGAAACAAATATCTTATAGAGTAGAGTTTCAAAATAATCACCCTGCACTCGATTCATTACAAAACCTTCAAGAGGAGGAACTAAAACAAACAAAACAAACTTTTCTTGGTGATACAATTTTAAAAAACAAAGTATAATTCAAATATCTATTCAAAAAGAGAAATGTCTAACTTAGGGACAGAATTCAACTTCTGATTTATTTTATCCACTCCACAGCACGTTTTCTAGAACTCCCTAAGGCCATGTACAACCCTGTCTACACAGAGAACTCTTGATGGAAAAGCACAAATCCTACAATGAGTAATTTAATCCCCATGGACCTCCCAGCGTTACTGAGGCAGAGGAAGCGCCAGAGGACGCGGATTTGGTAGAAAGGCGAGTGGCCTGGAGGACTACAGAATGCGGAAGCCTGCAATGGGTGTGTTTTTGATGTCTCGGAGGCAGCAGGGGTGACTGGTCTACAGCAGAAAAGTAAAGGACTGCGAGGTGCTATGCAATACAAAAACCACTCGGATGGAAAGGATTGGCTCTCTGCCTTTCTCCCATTATCCCTGTTCCATCCTGAGAAGAGAGGAAATTCATCTGCGTGACTGCCATGTTTACCAGCAATCACAGGTACAATCTGCTCTTTGGGGCTTTCTATTCCATATCCTCCTCGGCAGGAGGAGGTCAAGGCCTTCTTTAGCACAGGAGGCAGCCCAATCACTGCTCTGCACCTGAAACGTCATTCCTACTCACTTCTCTCCATCTCTCTGGACCAGATGCTCTAAGCCAATTTCCTAGAGAGAGAGATCTGCCCAGATGATCATAGAGAGGCACTTTGCTTTTCCTTTGTCATCCTCCCCGTGCACGTTTCCCTTGAAAATATCCCAGGAAGGAGGAGTACCTAGGCCATAGCAAGATTCGGGTCGCCCAGCCCTAATTCCAGCTAATTGCGCCCAAAACCTAAATCATTCCCAAGAGACAGGAATAAGAGAAAATCCAAATGGTCAAAATGACGACACTATGAAAAACCACAAAGTACATTTAGGACAGGTTACTCACTTTACAGATCTGACTCATGGTATTTTCTAATTTAGTGCTATCCATATTTCCAGTCATCCAAGTACTTTTAAAGATTAAAGGTTCCTTTTAGAAATCCCATATTTGACATCATTACTTCTTTTCCTACACTATCTGCTGTGTGAATAATAAGAGCAAACGCACTGAATGCTTACGAAGTGCCAGACTACTGGCACTTACACACACAATTTCACTTAATCCTCTTAACCCCATGAGTTGTTCAATACATATCCCTATCTTACAGATGAAGAAACCAAAGCACTAAGAGGTTAGAAATACTACACAATTGACATTTAGGCAAAAAGAATGAAGCAACTTCAGAGGAAGAAATATGGAATAGTCTCCGATATCTATTAAGTTAAAAAAACAAAGTATGAACTAGAGCACACCATCTGTGTAAAAACAAAACTACACAAAAAAGGATATACACATACGTGCCTATGTGCACAGTATACTTTTGGAAGGATACACAAGAAACTTAAAAGTGGCTGCTGAGAGACAAATTGCGTGGCTAGAGATGGTGTGGGAGGCAGACATTTTTATGCTCTTGTAAATTTAGAATGTTTTTTTTTTAGGTTGGCCCTGAGCTAACATCTGTTACCAATCTTCCTCTTTTTTTCCCTCCCCAAAGCCCCGGTACATAGTTGTATATCCTAGCTGTAAGTCCTTCTAGTTCTTCTATGTGGGATGTCGCCACAGCGTGCCTTGATGAGCAGTGCATATGTCTGCGCCCAGTATCTGAACTGGTGAACCCCAGGCCACCGAAGCAGAGCACATGAACTTAACCACTCAGCCACGGGGCTGGTCACTAAATTTAGAATTGTCTATCTTAATTACTACCTACTCAAAAACTGTTAATAAAAATAAACAAACATAAAGAAAAAATACCTCAGAATAGCCAAGAAAATTATAAAAAAAGACTCACAAGGAAGGCCTGGCCATGATGAACATTAAAGGTTACTCTAAATCACTGTTTCAAAACAATATGGTAGGGGCTGGTCCAGTGGCGCAGCGGTTAAGTTTGCACGTTCCGCTTCTTGGTGGCCTGGGGTTCACCAGTTCGGATCCCGGGTGCAAACACGGCACCGCTTGGCACAAGTCATGCTGTGGTAGGCGTCCCATATATAAAGTAGAGGAAGATGGGCATGGATGTCAGCTCAGGGCCAGTCTCCCTCAGCAAAAAGAGGAGGATTGGCAGCAGTTAGCTCAGGGCTAATCTTCCTCAAAAAAACAAAACAAAACAAAAAAACCCCAATATGGTATAAAAATAAAAATAAGAGCTAGCCCTAATGGCCTAGTGGTTAAGTTCAGTGCTCTCTGCTTCAGCAGCCCAGGTTCAGTTTCCAGGCATGGAACCACACCACTTAACTGTCAGTAGCCGCACTGTGGCGGCAGCTCACACAGAAGAACCAGCAGAACTTACAACTATACACAACTAAGTACTGGGGCTTTAGTGGGGAAAAGGAAGGAAAAAAAAGAACAAAAATAAATCAGTGAAAAAAGAAGAATACAGTAGTCCCCCCCATCCAGTTTTCCTTTCTGTGGTTTCAGTCAACCGAAGTCTGAAAATATTAAATGGGAAATTTGCTACATCATTACCTCACTTCATCTCATCATGTAGGCACTGTATCATCTCACTAGAAGGGTGAGTACAGTGCAGTAAGGTATTTTGAGAGAGAGAGAGAACACATTCACGTAACTTTTATATTGTTATTACTATTCTATTTTATTTCTAGTTATTGTTGTTAATCTCTTACTGTGCCTAATTTATAAATTAAACTTTATCTTAGGTACATATGCATAGGAAAAAACAGTATATATAGAGTACAGTATTATTTGCAGTTTCAGGCATCCACTGGGGATTCTGGAAGATATCCCCCACAGATAAGGGGGACTACTGTATCAGAATTAGATCCAATATGGAGGCGAATTTAATGTATGACAAACGTTAAACTTGATTCAGTGGTATTCAGTTACCAAGAAAACAGTGCTGGCATTTATCCAAATGCTATTGGTCACCCAAGGAGAAGAAAACCAAGTTGGACCTTTATTTCACATCAAATACAAAAATAAGTTCCAGACTACAGGTCTGACTATATATCACAAAAGTTTTTAAGCATTTTTAGATTATTTATACCTTAAAGTATTCTATTCAAGCATAACAAATCTAGGAGCCATAAGGGAAAGGGGAGACATAAAATGTGCAAGTAACAAGTCTGATGAATGATGGAATAAATATATTTTATTTAGCAACAGACTCTTTCATAATTATTCCCTTCAAAGCATTACTCTCTCCCACGTTTATTTGTTCCACCACTCAGAGTACTTGCTTTTAATTGAAACATATCTGGAATGCTTCCCTTGAAATCACCCTCAGGTGTCTTTTGTGCTGAATCTGATGGCTTCCATGTTATCAAACTGCTTTCCTTTCATGAGTTATTCCAATTTGGGGAACAGCCAGAGCAAACATGGTGACAAGGAAGGCACATTCAGCAGCTGTAATACCATGTCATGGGTCTGCCTGTGCCAACAAAAATGACCAGATACTAAGTGAAGCGTGGCAGAACACGACACTGTAAGGTAGAAGCCATCCATTCAGCCCTTCTCTGGCGGCTTCTTCCAAATGAACTTAGTGCTTGCGTGAGTCAATGTTCCAGCTGTCAGTCAAAATGGACGGAAATGAACTGATCAAAGACCAATCTTCTCAGGTCCATCTCAAGTGAGTCAACATCAGCTTATCAGATGAGAGTAGAGACTCGAGTAATGCTTTCATATTTTCCAGTGGTGACAGGAAACCACTATCATCTCTGTCTTCCTGAAATCACTTCCTCGTCAAAATCCTTCAAATTTTAAAACTAGTATTTTATTTGTTACAGTACCCACCATGCAAAACACAATTAGTATTTCATTTACTTTTTTAGCTGTCTTTCCAAGCTTAAAAAAGAATTCACGTCTGTACTTGGTCCAAAATGCATTATTAAACAATCATAACCATGCTAACACAAATAAAGGTCAGGACCCAGTAGAGATGAAAACCCGTCAAGGTTCAACACTGAGGTGAGGGAGTGTTTTTGCAATAAGTCCCATCACCTCTCAAGTGTTACCAGTAAGGTCATTCCCTGGAATTTGTTGACACTTTTTATTTGATTACACAAATATTAAATAAATACCTTAGGTATGGTAAAAGATATCACAAACAAGAACAACAGCTAAAAGATCTGATGGAAAACATACTTGTAACCCATAACCTAAATATAAGTGCTTCTATAAATTGGTTAAGAAATCTAACCTGCAGAAAAAAAGCTCCACTCTGTGCTCAAGGATGTTAACCACATCACTACTGTAGCAAAAAACTGGGAATAACCTAAATAATCAGCAACAGGAGAATGCTTTAACAAACATAAATCCATAATCTTAGAAGGAAACACATAAGGGTCTTAATAATGATTTAACTTGCGGAGGTGGGTGAAGGAGGAAGGGAGGAGCAGATAAAGAGAAAAAAGACAGTAGTGACATGAAAAAAATAAGACAGATATGTTAAGTGGAAATGAAGAACATACAATTCTATGGTAATACTAAATATATAGAAAAATTTTTATGCACTGAACAAGGACTAAAAGGTGACATAAATTTATAAAAACATTGATTTGATTTAGGATTGTGAGAAATTTCTCTCAGATTTCTATTATTTTAACATAGTGCACACCAAAATAACAAAAAAATGAAAATAAGGAATTTAAGTAAAACCACTATAACTCAGAAGAAATGCTTTTCTTTGAAAATTTCTAACACTGAAGATCCTAGAATGACTCGTGTCTAACTTACCAAGGTGACATACAGTGCCCAGCACCTGGCAGCCATTCAAAACACACTGAAAAATATCAGCACGTACTTACCTGCTATACAACTGTCATCAGATATTGGTACATCCAGATAAATAAAGCCTTTGTTATATAAACCTAGAGAAGCAAAAGCATCTTGCTTTAGATGGAATACTAAACAGCAGTGATTTTTTTAAAAAGAATGATTCCTGATTTTCTATATTCTTGCAACTGAATGCTGTATGAAAAAGAAAAAAAGTAAAATAGAAGAAAAGAATTCTATTAAAGTTTTCAAATCTCCATTTCCCTCATATGCTCAGAACTACAAAATTTTTCTCACGATTCATTTGTATAAATTACTCCTGTATGTGACCAATTATAGCCACACAGGAAAACAATGGACTAAGGTGGCATTTCAAACAATAACATGCCTTTAGGAAACATTCCTATTCTTACCTAATTGATAAATACAGTTGCTATTAATAGTTGATGGCTTAAAACAAGTTTTTGTGTTGACAAAAGACCATTTCTACTAACCACTTACTATGTACTACATTGTAATCCAGCGATCCAGAGAGCTGAGGGCCTGCGTCGATGATCTTATCAACGGCGCATTTCTCAGGTAAAGTGCATATCTAAGAAAAGCAAAATATTTTCAATTAAGTTCTGTCAAATTAAGTAATTCATAAGTCTCTTCAACTCCAGTCATGTTTAAACCAATGATTATATGTCATTAATTGAATGACTACATAGTTTTTTTCATTTATCATTCCAGAACTTTTTAAAAAGCTACGCACATAACCATCAAAATTAAAGTGCCAAAACATGCCATCAACAGAACTTGGAGAACAAAGTGACTCTAAATACCAATACTTGCTGGTAAGGAGTAAGTGTTCACTAAAAGATACCAATATTTACTCGTCTTCTTTGAATTGGAATCAGATCCATTTGCTTTCTGAATCTCTCAAATCAGTTTATTCAAACTCTACGAGATTATTACCAGTGGTAAGTTCACTATCGTATGACACAGTTTGACAGCCCATAGGAAGTACTTAGACTGAAGCAAAATTTATAAGCCTTCTACTCACTGGACTTGACCTGTCCTCTGTAGTAAAATAAAACACAAACTAAAAAAAAGTTTACACTCCTGCAACCACAGAGATACGTATGACCTGGTCTCCAGCCCCTTCATCCATCGCCCCACCCCCTTCCTCTAAATCAACATCTCTTCTAAAATGTATAAAGCTTATATCCACTGTGCTCTGACCACTGGGTATATCATTTCCCTTCATCTTGACCCTACTGCCCTCTCAAAGCAGCCCCCACGTCAGCACAGCAGTTTAGCAGTGATTAAGAGCACAGGGTCCACGGCAAACTGCCCAGGTTCAAACCCTGGACCTTTACTACCACTAGGACTTGAGCCATGACTTCACTTCTCTGTGCTCACTTTCCTCGTATGTGAAATGGGATACAAATAATACACTCCTCTGGGGTTGTTATGAGAATCAAATGAGACAATATAAAAGGAGTCTGGAATAGTGCCTGACACAACCAGCACACAGCACGTGCTCAAGAAGAGTCAGCCAAGATTACTGTTGGTAGCTGAGCATCACGTCACTTTACATGAAACTTCTGTTTAACTGAAATCCCCAGATCACTGTGCCTGAACCAAGTCAAGTCTCCCTCATTACTAAAGAGTAGCGTGGAAATCCACCAATATTCTAGCCTATGAAGACAATTTTAAACTTTGAATTTAAGTTTAATTTTCTTCAAAATAACAGTCTACATTTTTTAAAAAATTATAGAACTATAAATTATAAAATAATTTAAAAAATAAAAACCCTGTAACTTTTAAAGACATCTACCTTTATGTCATCTTCTGTGATATATCCAGCCTGCACCACCCACCACGCCTCAATGGAAATTTCCACCGGCTTTACGGGTAGAAGATCGCGGGCCGTTTTCCTTCTGAAAAATTTCTGCAATGGTACAAACATCTGAGAATTTGCGATCAACCTAAAATTACTACTTTCTTGTTTACTGACCATATAATAAGACTGTTTCTAACAGGTTAAATAAATACCTTTTAAATTCTCATGTTTGAAAATCTGAAGCATTCTAGATATAGTGCATGGAGAAAGCCATTCTCAACTTATTTCAAAATAAATTACCTCAAAATACTAATCATTAAATCTGGATCCAAAGCCAGAAGCTAAAATGAAACCCAGGAGGTGAAATGGAAATTTGGAAAATGTGAATGCATTTCACCTGTTAGGTGAACCCTGGGAGTGGAAGACCAGCGGAGCAAAAGTAATCTTTAAAAATAAACTAAATGGGGGCCGGCCCAGTGGTGTAGTGGTTAAGTTCGTATGTTCTGCTTCAGCAGCCCATGGTTCGCCAGTTCAGATCCCAGGTGTGGACAAGCGCACCATGCATCAAGCCATGCTGTGGCAGGTGTCCCACATATAAAGTAGAGGAAGATGGGCACAGATGTTAGCTCAGGGCCAGACTTCCTCAGCAAAAAGAGGAGGAATGGTGGCAGATATTAGCTCAGGACTAATCTTCCTCGAAAAAACAAGCAAACTAAATGTTTTATGCGTTAAATATTTTTAATTCAACAATCACTTGAGCCATAACCCTAAGTAAGAGAATACTGAGTTGTTGTTTTTGTATTGTTTCTATATTAAGCATATTTTTATTTGATCAAAGAAATTACAATTCATTATTCCTGCCACTTAAAAAATTTAATCAGACTGTGTGATAAGGAGGACAAGAAATGAGAAAGAAAGGGAAAGGACCAACTCACTTTTGATGATCTACACTGATTCATCAGATCAATGTACTGGTTTCTTCCTATGCCAAGAAGCCTTAGACCTGAAAGAAAGAACCTCTCCTTTAAAGACATTTAACACATCTTGAAATGTCAGTACACTCACAAGGCTTTTTAGGAAAAAACCCTGGGCTTTTGTTCACCTTTTGATTATTGGTTTGCAATCAATAACAAATTAAAAGGAATTTTTCAAACAAAATATAATTGAAAACAAAACTGGGAGAGACGAATTTAAGCTGACACTCTGACAATGCTAAATGAGGATATTTTTAAAAAGCAGAAGTCCTCCCAATTTCAGGAAGTCAAAGTACACTTCTCAGCAAAAGTTTCCCCTTACATGACAGAACTTTATCACGTTTTAAATATACACTTCACTAAAACAAGCATAATAAAACAAGAGCAAATTACTTTAGTAACAACTGTGTATCATGCTGCAAAAACACTGTACACAAGTTTTCCTCCCTCTTTTGGTAGACAACACAGCCCGGGTATCAGAAAGAACTTCATTCTCTGGAAGTATACAAACTAGTCCCACTTTTCTGATTTTACCACTCCAAAATATTTCTATTAGACTTTAGGCTAAATTTCACACTTGACTTCTTCACCTCATAAAATTTCCATCAATAATGTTGCTCTCTGTTCTCATTTGTCAAGTGTTTCAGGTTAAACAGACATTACGATACCGACACAATAGCATGCATGCACAAAGACACACTCTAAAGATTACCTCCTTCAGCATAATTAAATACTCACAGTCAGCAGCAGTAAAATTGGGCAATGAATCATAACTTTTCTCACTGTTCATAATGTCCTTTTAAAAAGAAAAAAATTAAGAACTTTAAATGCAAAACGTTCTTAGATGAAAACATGTATATAAATACATACTACTATAGCCAAACAGAATAACGATGATTACATGAAGCACTGAGATGAGAGTTTGGCAACCTAAAGCATGCATGCCACATTGTGGCACTTACCACGTGGTCTCAACCTAGAAACTGAAGATCAGACTTTCAGGTCTGGGTTTCTCCCAGCACTCTCTATGAATCCCAGACAGTTGCCCTGTAACCTCTGCCCTGTGGAAGCTACGCAAGGAATACCTCTATTAGAGTTCAGGGTTCCAGCCTCTCCACACTTCGTATCTGATCCTAGACTCCTACCCTGAGAAAAGGCCAAATAATGTGTCACAGCCACATCAACACGCATCTACGACACACACTACCAATAAAGATTTTAACCCCTTAGTCATCTTTGCCCCTAGAAGTCCCAATCAGCTCAACTCAGTATCCAGTTTCTTTCAAGCCCCATCCGCTTCTCCAACAATAAACCAACCGTTTACTATGGAGATAAGACCCATTTTCAACCTATAAGCTATACCCAATGGTGTAAGGACAGAAACCAGAGAGCCCCACGCACATGGACGTGAAAAGTTGAAAGCTGGTAAATGGGACAAAACCTCCCTGTTATCTCCCCTCAACCTGTGGACAACAGCAGAAAATTAATCATGTAATCATGAAGACAGCAACAACCCTTCTATCTTCTAATTAGCGGCCACCTTCATTATGCTACTCTGGTTCTAGGGAAAGGGACTGACAGAAACCTGGGCTGTCGGCCCTCAAGCTTTCCTTTGTATCTCCTCCAAAACAGGGACACAGGAGACACAGGACTGGAGAAGTGCCCGTGAAGAAGGGGCTTAAGGAGATAAGCAAAAGGAGCTCCTGGAAGGGAAGCCACATCACAAAGGGGGCTGAGCTCACTGTTACTACAGGTCCCCGACTCCTTCAGTTCTAAGCTTCTCTCTGCCCTTAAAACGGCTAGTGAGCCCAAATCATAGCATTCAAATATAATTAAGTAGCAAATGAATACTAGATAATTATTGCCAATCTTTACATAAAGCTCACTTTAAAATAGCATATAACTGGTATTTAAAGTTATTCAACACAAGCCTACGGACTGCCTTTGGAAAACAGCTAAAAAGTACAAGCTAATAATTACAGAAGATTAGCAGCCAGAGCTACTAACAGATTTCTCCTTTTCTGACACATGTACTACATAGCGTTGGGTCTATGCCATCATTTATTCTTTCTACAGTCACTGAGAAGCTAAATACATTAAGTTTCTCTGAGCCTAATGTTCAAGTCTGTCATCCACATTTTCAATCTTAATGATGTATTAAAAGCAATAAATTTTATACAGACTCTGCTAATACAAATGACCGATTAATGCTACAATAGCACAGAGGCAACAACTCCTTCAAGAACACAGAATAAAAATACTTTCCACTGTGAAAACTCTGATAATGATAACTAGTTGCACAATTGTGGCTAAAACAGTTAACTTGTAACCAAGAGTCCTTCTTACACTATAAACCCAGAAACAATGTCCACTGTGGCTTACAATGCAGAGCTGGTCATGATCTGCAAAGCGTCCGTGACATGCAGTCCCACCCCATTTCTAATGGTTCACACACCCTGTAAACTCACCTCCATAATCCCAGTATAATATGAAAATGGTGTTATCCTCAGGCCCTTTACCATAATATCCGACAAATGGTAAGGGTACAGCATGAGATGATCTCGACTGTACTTAAGTAGTTCCTCATAGTATTTGCGTTCATCTTTCTTGACATGTTTAACTGGGAGAAAGATGGAAATTCTCCAGTTTTTTTCAGATGTCTTATACTTACATATAATTATAAATGCAACGAGAAATTCTTTACAAACCAATATTAATTAAAAAGAAAAGTATGTAAGTCGAAAGAGAATGAATAAAATAATTGAAGTTGGAACAAAAACACAATTATACCACAAGAAAACAGACTTCAGAGTATATAAGCAAAACGTGTAATAGGACAGACAAGCAGAGAAATAACTCTTACCAAATCAAAAAGCAAAGAAAGCAAGCACAGAATGTCTCCCCAAAAGGTACAAAACGTAAGCTATAACTCACTCAGCCTCTTACTGTGTTACTTTACAAGAGAGCCAACCAGAACAGCAGTTTTCTATGAAATCAAGTATATATATTTTTTTCTTTTAAAGATTTTATTTTTCCTTTTTCTCCCCAAAGCCCCCCAGTACATAGTTGTATATTCTTCGTTGTGGGTCCTTCTAGTTGTGGCATGTGGGACGCTGCCTCAGTGTGGTTTGATGAGCAGTGCCATGTCCGCGCCCAGGATTCGAACCAACGAAACACTGGGCCGCCTGCAGCGGAGCGCGCGAACTTAACCATTCGGCCACGGGGCCAGCCCCGAAATCAAGTATATTTTTAAAAATTATTTGCTGGACTTGTGTTTTAAATGTAAAAAGACCTCTGACTTTAATGGAATACATTTAAACAGAAAACCAACCTCTGAAATAATATGCTTCAAGGGTACCACATGGGAGGAAAGACCAGCAGGGCAAGAGAACAAACTAATCAAAGGAATCTGACAAATAAAAAGCAAACATTAAAAAAAGGAGTTAGCGGCCGGCCTGGTGGCGTAGCAGTTAAGTTCACATGCTCCACTGCAGAAGCCCAGGGTTCACCAGCTCAGATCCTGGGCACAGACCTACACACCGCTCATCAAGCCATGCTGTGGCGGCATGCCACATGGAAGAACAAGAAGGACTTACAACTAGAATATACAACTATGTACTGGGGCTTTGGGGAGAAGGAAAAAAAGAGGAAGATTGGTAACAGATGTTAGCTCAGGGCCAAGCTTCCTTACCAAAAAGCATACCTTTGGGGGAAAAAAAAAGCTCTCAGATGTGAAAGCCTATTAATTAAGAGTCTAGGTTATAAAAAGAAAAAAAAAAAACATGGAACCAACTATGTTTAAAATCTGTTCCAATTATTATAGAAGAGTTTTTATTAAAGTTATATTATTGGGAAAATTTATGGAGACTAGAACAAAACTCAAAGGCAAAAATTGTTTAGAACTAATGTACTTGTTTTTGGTATATTTTCTCACCCAAAGAAAAAAGAGGACATTTGAATCAAGATTAATATTCTATAGGTAAAACAAATCTATAAGCAATACTCTAAAAAATAATTTTCATCAGAATTAGAAAGAAAAATCTACTTGCTAATGCAATTGTTATTAGGTAGGAATGGGTCTGTATAGAGTTTCTTAAAATCTGTACACGGAATAATTTCAGTACTATGAAACAAGTGTTGAAAAGATAGATTTACAAAAATGCTAATTCAGCAAGTCATTTCCACCTCCATGTAAAAATGTCTCTACTTACCTAAGTTATTTCTGTACCGTAACTGATTGCGGATACTGTACAGGACAACCTGCTTTTCATATTCTCTCTGTGAATTTCCAAGACTCTAAAAAAAAATTTTCAAACAGATTTAAAATAGCTTCTAAAGTATTTCTTCCTCATAAAATTTCAAAACCATACCCCCAGTCTTACCCTGGAATCTCTAATTTCCAGAACCGAATAAAGCAGATTTTCTCAAATTTTATTATACTAACTTTCCTTCTACGGTATTAGAGCAAAACGTCAATGTTTGTTTTCAACCTGCCTTTCTAAAAGGACTTACTGAAATTACCTAAGGAATGTAATATCAAATAAAAGAGCAGTGTGAGAGCACAACTTCACTTAAGTTAACAAAAAACTAAGTTCTACTTACAAAGATTTCCTTCCTCACCGTCTCAACTTGTGTGTGTTGGATGGATGGATGGTTTCTTGCACCTACATTTATTTAAATTTAAGAAGGGCAAAAAACGACAGATCCCTGTCTGATAATTATTTATAGCCAAGCACTATGATTATTAAAAATTAAGATTTCTGGAGAATGTACACTTCAAACGTACCTCTAAGTGATAAGATTACTTCTTAAAAACATCATCTCTTTATGGCCTCATTAGAAAACATTTAGACAATTTTAGAATCCTGATATATTTTTTTAGCAGGCAGAACACTTTCCAGCTGCACATTTAGTGTTTTAAGTTCGGAGTTGGCTCGTCAGGAATGCAAAGAGTTAAGTCTGCCTGATTATAGTCAATACTACTTTCAATGTATGACCAGTAACTTAATTTAATATGTGACTGCTATCCCCCTTCTAATTACCAGGTATGATCTTTCCAACATGCTATAAAATAAAATTAGAATCTTAGGAGACTAATGATGGAAAGATCAGAGGATTCAGTTATTATATTTCTTACTCATAGGTTTCTGAAAGTCAAGATAAACATCCATACACATACTTTCACTTAAGGCAATCTTCACAAGACAGATGAAACTCACATCTACATAAACTGGTTCATAATTGGAACCAGTGGGCAGCATTTTAAGAGAAAAGGGACATGACGTGAGAAAATTAAAAATCTTTCTTCCTGCATCTGGATTAATTAGCTTACCACAGGTTAAACCATAACTCACACTACTGCTGGAATGTAAGTGCTTATATTATTTACATCCATTTTAACACTATATGTAACCAGGAGTAGAGTTCACTGTAGAGAAACTATTCTACCATCCTCAGTGGCACCAAAGCCAGGGTCAGTATTGAAAACTTTTACGAGATTCAAAATACTAGGCTTTCTGCAAAACTTTAAAAGAGTTTCCTCTAGCTCTAATGCCAAATAAAAGTGTCCTTCTCAAGGAACACAAAACACAGACACACTCACATAGTAAACAATCTGGAAAAATCTCAGCAACTTCCAAACTTGAGGATTTGCTCTTCTGTTTCAAATAAGTCCCTTAACTGAGCCAGCCCTTACGGCCTAGTGGTTAAAGTCTAGCATGCTCCACGTCGGTGGCCCAGGTTCAGTTCCTGGGCATGCAACTACACCACTTGTCCGTCAGCGGAACTACGTCACTTGTCGGCCATGCTGTGGTGGTGGCTCACATACAAGATCCACAAGAACTAGCAACTATATACAACTACGTACTGGGTTTTTGCAGGGAGGAAAGGAAGAAAAAAGGAGAACTGGCACAAATATTAGCTTAGGGCAAATCTTCCCCTGTAGGGAAAAAAAAAGGCCAGCCCCCAGGGCCTAGTGGTTAACTTCGGCATGCTCCACTTCAGTGGACTGGGTTCAGTTCCCAGGCAGACCTACACCACTCATCTGTTAGCAGCCATGCTGTGGCGGTGGCTCACATAAAAAGGAAAAAAACAGGAAGACTGGCAACAGATGTTAGCTCAGGGGGAATATTCTTCAGCAAAAAGAAAAAATAAAAAACCTTAATTTATCATAACTTATAACCACTTTCTTCCCTTCAAACTCCATTTCTGGTAACTCCAGGATAAAAAGTGTAAATCAAGCAACTCATACAAAATGTAAGGGTCTGTTATTTGTAAGCTAGTTTAAGAGATTATCTATTAAATATCTACAGATCTTTGCAATAGGCATTAAGCGATGAGTGGTCCGGATCAATACACATGTGTGCACACAAATAACTAAAAACTACATTGAAAGCTGATTTTATTCTTTACTACCCACATACATCAACTACAACTGCTTTGTTCACGAAGATTCTTTGGCTTCTCTCCCACTCCTACCCCAAATTTCCCACCATCCACTTTTTAAAACACTTGCCACTACAGAAGGCAACTAAAGAAAGGTCATTTTACTCTGAGACAGTGCTGACCCTGCAGAAAACTGACCAGGTCTGACAGATGAAGCTGGGTTGCATATAAAAGGAACCCTAATAGATGAAGGAGCGACATAGGTAGTGGCTGTAAAACACTCTATGCATCAGATTATACTACAAGCATAAAGAATTTTTCTTAAGCTTTTGCTCCAACAATCCCCAATCCCAATGTGCACTGCCTCCCAAAAAAATAAAAAACAGAATTTTTTTTAATTGACCTTTCTTGGATTATACAGAAACTCATAAGATTTCCCTCAAAATAAAATAACTATAAACTGTTTTTGAACAATGAATACAAGATACTGGTAAACTACAGAAAAATCCCAAAATAACGGCCGAATGCACAACTTTTTAACGTATTTTTTAAAGTCTAGTATAGCCCATATCACACAAAAATATTTCATCTCGTCCATAAAAACCTATTGGCTTGAAATTCATTTTTTTTTTAATCTAAATGGCTTCCCCCAGCTTTCAGAACTGGGAAATATGAGTCATTTCCAAATTAAACTCATCAAAACTTACTGGAAACTCTATCAAAGTACTTAGTATCTATAACGCTAACAAACAAATTCTTTTCCTACAAGGAATATTACCCACTTTTAAACTGACTGAGCTTTACTTCCTGGAAAAAAATCTCAGACTGATACCATCACTCATTCGCTCCAAACAGACTTACTAATAGCCAACTAGGACACAGGTGCTCAAAATACGGAAGCAAAACAACAAATGTAACCAGAAAATGCACATAGTGCTGGGGGTGAGAAATACAGGGCTGCAGCAACAGATCTGAGGGTCAAGGGATCCAGATTTAGAAGCTTAGGGAAACCTTCCTGGAAGTTAATACCTGAGATTCAAAAAGAAGCTACAAGCAATCTACAGGAGACAGGTAGCGAGGGAATTTTGGGTTTGCATTTGAGAAACCTCATCCCAGTGCAGTGTGAAGAATGGATGGGAGGGTCCTATTCTGAGGGCAAGAAACCAGATAGAAAGCTGTTGTAGTTAGTGATCCAAGGTGGAGCCTGACCTAGGAAAACAGTGGCAGGGCCAGAGACAGTCCATGGAGGTAACTTGCACAGATGGGTTTTCCAACACCTTCTACAAGTGGAAGCTTATCCTAAGCTAAAACACCTCTTCTTTTAAGTGATCTTACCAAAAGAATTTAAATTTAATGTCATGTGTGTACCTGATTATAACACTGTTGTATGATTGTATTTAAGAGTCATGACTAAGGCTGAGAAAAGTTTTTGCCAATATTAATTAAGGTCAATTATTCATGTTGAACATAATCGAATCATCCATCTTTCTTCCATCACGCTACATTGATTTTTATGAAAGGAAGAGTAGAGAAAAAATGGAAACAGAGCAAAGAAGGGTTGTCGGTTCTTCCTGCTGTCTTTGGATACGGCACAAAACCCTACAGAACAAGTGTCCACCGAAACCCTCTATGGAGTTTAACAAGAGAAACTTCCTCCTTCAGGTTGAGAGCACATTCTTCCAGATCAAGACAAATGCCACGTGGGCAGCCACTGACAACCAAGAACTCTGAGTTCCTTAAATTATCTTTCTACTGTCTTGTCTTTTTGGTATCTTAAAGTGAAAACATTTTCTCGGCCACATGATGCATCCCAGAGCCTTAAATTATTCATTTCCTAGAAATGAGCCCCCAAGCTGGCAGAGGAGGCAAAGTAATAACTCTTATACCATCACCACCACTATCCCAAACTTTCCAAATATAACTGCCCAGCACCCATGGGAAACCGAATTTCACTCTCAACCAAGTAGAATGGGAGGTCAATCGATGACCAGAGAACGTAAATGTATATGCAGCACGTAACACTATCTTCCTAAGATTTAACACCACCTGCCATGTTATGTATTTACTCATTTATGTGTTTACCATCTATCTTTCATTACTAAAATGTATGCTCCATGAAGCGAGGGTCTCTGTTTTGTTGATTGCTGCAAATTACCTGCACCTAGAACAAGGCACAGAACGCAGGAGGTGTTCAATAAATACTTGTTAAACTGATAAAAATGACACACAACTTTTGAGAATTAACTCTCAGACAAAACCTCATGTCACTCTCTTGTTGAAACATCTCTAATAAACCCATCTTGTCTGGAGGACAAAGTCCAACAAAACAAAGTGGAAAACCCCTTCAAAATCTGGCCCCGATTGCTCTTCCAGCCCCGTCTGCTACCGGCCCCCACGCACTCACAAAACTGCACCTCCAAACGCATCAATATATCTACACCTCCAAACTCGGGGGATATGAAGTCGCTCGCTACTCTCGACACACGCTTTCACTCGTCCAAGCTTTTTAAAATGACTTTCCCTCTCCCTGGAAAAGCTTCATTCCCTCTCATCTAGCTAACTCTTTAAGGCCCATTTTAAATGCCTCCTTTGCACATCCTCCAGACACTCCCCGGATAACGTCTCTCTCCCTCCTCTGTGAGCCCACATATACCATAAGAGAGGTACGCATTCGCTGCTCTCACCCTGTAACGTATGCTTTCATTCGTTTCTCGTCCCCGTCCCATCCTCCTGAAGTTCTGGGGCTCAGGGGCCGTGCTTTAAATCCGTTTCGCAGGAGCCTAGCCCCGTGCCTGGCTGAATGGATGCTGCGGGCAAAGGCGCCAGGCGAGTCCAGGGGACACCATTCCATCCCTTTTAGCAACGATCCCATCCCGCCCCTGGGGCCCCAGAGCCGTCCCCTCCTTCACCCCTGGGCTGCGCTCGGTTTTCCCGAGCCCCTGGCGAGGGAAGGGCGGGAGCCAGCCGAGAGCAGGCAGCCCCGGCCGCGCGGGCGAGGCCAGCGGGTGAACGCGGCGCAGGCCCCGGCCGTACCTGCCTCACGTTGGCCGGCAACTTGCTCCAGGGGTAGTTGTGCCGGATGTGGAACTCCACGTCTATGTTCATGGTGCCGGCGGCGCGGACGGGCGGCGGCGGCCCGACCGCGGCTGGAACGCCGCCTCCCGCCTGCCCGCCCTCGGCCTGGCAGCGGAGCCCGCGGGAGGCCCCGCGCCTCACACTGCGTACAGCCCGGGCTGCCCCATGGCCAGGGCTCCCGACGGCTCGGCGCGGCCCGGGCCACGGGGCACAAGCGCAGCAGACACGGCTGCAGGAGCGCCTCGGCCGCCCCAAGTTTCTTCCTAGTTTCGGCCCGCCGGAAATGGCTGTGGGCGTGCGTCACTTCCGCCCGCGGGCGCGAGGCAGAAGGGGCGGGGCGCCGGGCTGGCTTCTGGCCCCGCCCTCGATCCTCTGCGGGGCGGGGCTACGAGGCGATGCAGACGGGGACCCCGGTGACCGCGCCGCTGCAGGTGTGCTTCGGCTCCAGCTTTCCGTCTCTGGATGAATTAAGACAATCGTCTGGGTCTGCGTTGCCGTTGTTGGATGACCCAGTTTCCCCAAAATGCGAACCCCGCAGGCCCAGGAGCAGGCGATGTCAGGCAGTGGGGTCGGTTGTCTGAGAAGGAGCGACTTGGGAAGGGAGCCATGGCTGGCTTCGAATAGTGGAAGAGCAGTGAGCCCCCTGGGGGCCGTCCATAGGCAACCCCCAACCGCGGCCAGGTGGGTGGGGTCCAGGCTCGAGAAGGATTATAAGTCAGAGCTTTCACCCCAATTGAGCGAGCAGCCGGAAGAGTGGTAGAGCAAAGGTCTGGTGCTCCTTCATCACTTCCAGGTAGTGGCTGCATCTTGTGGAAGAGAAACTATGGGCTCTACTTCAAAGATCCAAATTCTTAAATTGTAGGGATTCTGCAAGCTGAAATTTTAAATGGCTGGTGCTGACAAGTGGGGGAGGCTCAAAGGGAATCTAGGAGATAAAGACTCTTTGCGTGCAGCTCTGTTACTGCTTCTGCTCCATATGCCCTCAGTCACTTTTTAAAGGCAGAAATCCAGCCTATTTTAATTTCAGTTCTAGTGAGAAGATCTTTGGGAACAATTTCTTCCAGAATTTGTTACTACTAGCTTAGCAAACCCATGGCCATTGTTATTGGCAGCGACCAGAGAAATGTTCAGTACTTTTGCAACTATTTTTCAGTTTTAAACAATGGTTTTAAATAATGTTGTATTATACACCGACAGATGTATACTCAGAATTTTTTATAAGATGCCTAGCCCACGCCTGAGCAAGTGGCCAGTCTGATGCGTAGCAGGAAATCCATTATGTCTGATGAGTTTAAACAAATGTGGTCCAAACTGCCTTTGCATCCATGTATTGGTCTCATGTTATCCAATTATAAAAACCCATAACTAAGTACTTTGAATCCAATGTTTGCAGACCCTCATCATCATAGCTAAAGTTAACAGAACTCTGACCATGAGACATTTATTCAACAAATATTGATTGCCTGCCTGTTACACATCAAGCCCTTGACTTGCCATAGTTATTCCTCCCAACCTTGTGAAAGAATGCCACTGTTACTATCTCAGTTTAATAGAGGAGGGAACTGAGGCTTAGCAGGGCAGCATGACTTGCTCCCAAGACCACACAGGTGGTAGTGACAGCCAAACTGGAGCCCGAGGCTGTCTCATGCCAGAGCCATCCTTTTAATTCCTTGATTCAGGCTCTCACTCACCGAACTGTTCTGCGTCCTGTTCCAATTCAGACAGTGTTCATTTAAAATCAACAACATTAATCCCTGCCGCCCAAAAAATAATTTTTTAATAATTCTAAGTGTGGGAGAACCCATAATCTTCCAAAGTCTAACTTGAATTTAATGCAACATAAGTAACAATCAAAATTAAAGTCAACATAGTTGAAAAACCCCTGTAAACCATTATCTTAACTACTTATAGCAAACAGGTGATCACCTGCTAAATACATCTTTTTTGTTTATCAACAAATATTGAGTATAGTGTGGACACATCAAAAACTGTGAAAGTAGACAGAGGATAGTGGTGTGAACTTAACACCCGCTAAATCAGTCAGCCACAGATCTTTGAAAATTTGACCATGATGAATAGAAAAGATTCTAACTTGGCTGAGAAAAGCAGAAATTTGGAGGAAGTAATGGGTCAAAGCTACATGTCTGGAAAGAATCCAGTTAACAAGCCCTTCAGAGTAGGAACTGGCAATAGAGTTTGGCTTGTGAAATACAGGGTGCTAATTAAAGTACTGAGCTGCCTCATTTCCACCCAAGGTGACCAGTCTTTCAGAGACTGGAAACAAAGCAGTTCAGAGACCATAGGTTCACCCACAGGGATCAATGGCCCCCTCTGCTGGGAAGTTCAGGAACAGGACTGCTCCCTTAAGTACCAGGCAGGAAAACATTTTTGGCCTCCGCATGGATCACTCATTACATCATCTTGCCTTTTTGGTAAACAATAATGTCCATCTTTTTAGGTCCTTGAATCAGGCCCCCGGTATTTCTGCTTCAGTAGACCTTTGCTTTTAAAATTGCAGAGAGGTCAGAACCTGCAGCGTTAGAAGCCTTGTCCTGGAAGCTACCATCCGAATTAACCTTGTTGGTAAACTATGTGTTGAAAACTACACGCGCAATGAGAGTCAGTCTTATCTGGCTTTCCCAACTTGGACTAAGGTAAATTACCCAATTGGCTTGGGCAATCTGCCCTTCAGAAAGACTACAGAACTCTTACATTCCTAAAATTCCAACAAAAATAATGAGCAGAAGCAACCTGAACGTAGGGAGCTGTCTGGTGGTCTAATCTCACAGACCCCAGAATATCACTCCCTGTGGTCGGTAGAATAATGGCCCCCAAAGATGGCCATGTCCTAACCCCCGGAACCTGAGAATATGTGACCTCACATGACAAGAGAGACTTTGCAGGTGTGATTGACGTAAGGATCTTGGGATGGGAAGATGATCCTGGATTATCCGAGTGGGCTGAACATCATCATAGCTTCCTTATAAGAGGGAGGCAGGAGAGTTGAGATTCAGAGACAGAGATGTGACAATTCCAGCAGATGCAGCGCCACAGGGCAAGGAATGTGAGCAGCTTCTTGGAACTGGAAAAGGAAAGGGATTCTGCCCCAGAGCCTCCAAAAGGAACAGAGCCCTACCGACTCAACTTTGGACTTCTGATCTCCAGAACCCTCAGATAATAAGTTTGTGTTGTTTTAAGCCAGCAAGTTTGCAGTAATTTGTTACAGTAGCCATAGGAAATTAACATACTTCCCCAACAATAAAATACTCTAACACCCAAACAGCTGATGCAACAAATTTCATAATTAAACCATTGTAATTGAAATGTAAATACCCTTAGGGAGAATAATAGCTTTTTAGTCTTCCGCTTTTTAGATACACCAGTTATCACATACTTTTCTGAGAGCAGGTTTGGAAGAGAAAGAGCTCAGGGATTAAATGAGGCCCGAGAAGCTCCTGTAGAGGAGGAAATGGCGTCTAGAGAAAAGAATGGGGGAGATGTCACTGTAAACATTTTCTATTTCACGATTTTGCCTGGGCCTTACCTCGGTCATGAGTCTCCATTCTGCGTGCGCTCTGCTCTGTTCCATGAAGCAATTCATCGCCCCCTGATGCTCAACGTAATGACCTGGCTTGTTCCCACCTCACGGCTGGCTTCTGCCTTTGCTGTTCCCTCTACTTTGAATGCTTTTCCCCAGACCTTTGCACAACAGGCAGCCTCCATTGTCACTTGGAGTGGCTTTTGCCAACTACTCTGTCCAACCTAGTCACTTCCCCCACTCCTCTCCCTGACACATTCCCTTGGTTTATTTCCTTTGTTGCAAGAAATCACTATCTGACATTATCCTGTTTGGTTTCTTGTTTATTGTCTGTCTCTACAGCAAGACTATAATCTCTGTGGCAGAAAGGACCTTGTCTATCTCAGTCATCAGTCTATCTCCAGGACATAGAATCATGCCTGGCACATAAATACCATTGAATGTATCAAATGAGTGAACTAGTTATGTGACATCTCAGCTCCCAAATGTCACCTTTTCAGTTTAGCCTTCCCTGACCACCTTGTCCAAATTGTCACCCATTTCCAGTCCTCCTCATCAGCCTCTCCTGCATGATTTTTCTCCATAGCACTTATTACTATCTAATACATTTAATAACTTACCTACTTTTTAAAATTGTTTGTCTCCCTGGGTCCGGCCCAGTGGTGCAGCGGTTAAGTTCGCACGTTCTACTTTGGCAGCCCGGGGTTTGGCGGTTCGGATCCCGGATGCGGACATGGCACTGCTTGGCACACCATGCTGTGGCAGGCATCCCACATATAAAGTAGAGGAAGATGGGCACAGATGTTAGCTCAGGGCCAGGCTTCCTCAGCAAAAAGAGGAGGATTGGCAGCAGATCTTAGCTCAGGGCTAATCTTCCTCAAAAAAAAAAAAATTTTAAAAAATTGTCTCCCCCATTAGGCTGGAAATACTCCAAAGGTAGGGATTTTTGTCTGCTTTGTTCTCTGCCGTGTCCTCAGGCTTAGAATACACACAGTAGGAACTCACTAAATATCAGGTGAATGAATAGATGTTGTAGAGGGAGAAGAATTCTCATAAAAATCCAGATTTGGGAATTCTCTTGAAAATGTGGAAAATCGCACAGCGTTAGACCCCTTTTCCCACACTAGTCAGTGCAGCTGAGGAGAGGCTACCCGGCTTAGACAGAAGGTGGGCTTTCCCCCCCGGCCACATTCCCCACTACTTCCCACAGCCTCTGTTATGGAGGCTGTCAGCTGTGAAAATCATCCCCCCCTGTTTACTTCAGAGTGGAGAAATATTTCTGTGCCTTTGACTCTGTAGAAAGTGAAGGAAATGAAAGCTAGACTGACAGGCCCTGCTGTCCATCCTCTCTTGCATTACAGTCTTCAGAAATCCCAAGATATTTGCAATTCCTTAAACATGCCACACTGTGGAGTCCCTTTGGCTCTTTGCATATAGGAGACCCTTCTCTGGAATGCTTTTCCCTCCTGCTCTACCTGGAAAGCATCTCATCCTGACACTGGGAATGGGACACTGAAGAATCAGGAGCTGAGGATGTAGAGGTGGGAAGGAGCAAAATCATGTGGCGTCATCTTTCTCTACATTAAGGAGTTTCTAGGACTTTCTTCTGCCAGTGACGGGAAACAACCGAAGAGTTACAAGTTTGTTTTAGAGGCAGAAAGATCCTCTGCCACATAGCCTGTGAAAGGTTAATATTATACATTTCTCTGTAATACAGAGGACATTATATTTCTGCCATCTGAAGGCGGTCTGT